TCTAGGACATTGTGGTTTCTAAAACGAGGAGTCACGCACGGTTCAAAGACAATATTGACACCATTGTCAGCTCCGGGGCTCGGTCGGTGCGGACGCGGTGGAAGTCTCCGTCTGAGCTGCCGGTGCTGCCACCTACACCAGGAGAAGGTTTGTTTTCTCGTGATCTTTTCCTCTTTGGCCTCTTCTACCTTCTTTAGCTTGCGCTGTTTGTATTTAAACTTTAGCTTCCTTGCACTGCCTTTTGCTTTGGTTTTGAGTTTGTTCCCCCAAGGGTTTGCCAGTTTTTCACCCAAGCATGCCGAAGCGTCTGAGAAGCCGTGTGCTCTAGCAAAAGCCATCAGCAGAAGGACTAGTACCCTCTTTACGGTTTCAAAAAACCTGACCAAAAGCAGTTGGGATGAAAGCCTCCTGTGAATTTAATGCTCCGCGGTTTCTAGTTGGAGGGCAGCGTCTTGTAGGAGGCTGCGATGAGGTGGACAATCCGTGGGGTTCCGTCCAAGCGTTCAGCCTCCCACCGGCGCGGGGGCTTGCCGGTGAGCTCGGAGCAGATGCCCACCCCGGGAGAGAAAACGCAAAGGATACGAGGAGACAACCAAAATCACAGAACAGCCCTGAAGGGGAGCGAGCTGGGAGGAGGTGACTGAGCTACGATGCCGAGAAAATGAAGATTACAACTGAGGACCTGATGCCCAAAATCCCACATTCTGCAGCGACCAAACCAGCGCATCAATCAAACGCTTTATTCCCTTCAAAGCGATTTTTTTTTTTTTCTTTTTCCCCCTCCATATTTGAAGGTAGAGCTGAACGGGAGGGAAAGGGCAGAAATGCGCTGCATCCCTTGATCTTGCTTCTCGTGTTCGTAGAGAGATGCCTGAAATGGGATAACGGCTGTCCATTGCCAATCTGGAGATGGGGCTGGGTATATATTTTGCAGCATTCCCCCTGTCCCCCCCCCCCAAAAAAAATATGCTGGGTGCTGCCTAAACACCCACTACTGCGCTGCCGCTCGACGCCCTCCGTGCCAAATAGTTTTCCTGACGGGGTGCAAATAACAATGTGTGATTGTACGCTGCCCAGCAGTGCGGTTATTCAACTAGAAATTTTTTTCCCAGATTTCGCTGGGAAGGAAGCACTCGCCTTCCCCCGTCATCTATTCTGGTCCGCTTTGCAAATTTTTGGGAAACCTTGTTCACGGAGGCCACGCCGAGCTGCAAATCCTCCGGGCTGACGGAGCGGAGCTGCCTTGGCATCCCCAGCCCTTGGGGTGCGACGTCAGTACTGCATTTGGCAAATAAAGGTGGTTTTATTTTTTCTGGGCGGGGGTGGGTTGGGGGTTTTTTTTTTTCCCCCTCCCAAGTTTTGAAAACCTCAGCGAGGGAAGCACAACAGCTCCCCTGTGAATTAGTTGCTGTTTTTTCTTGGAAAAAATATGAACTACACCCTGGCAGGATAGCGCAGGTACGTCGCCTTTGGGGTCGCAGGCGATGGAGCATTTGGGGCCGGAGCGTTTGGGGCCGGAGCGTTTGGGGCCGGAGCGTTTGGGGCCGGAGCATTTACCCCACGCGAGCGGCGGTTGTGATTTGGGCCGCCGTGCGATATTAGCGCCAAAAGCAGCAAGGGAGTCTTGCTCCTCGCCAGAAAAACGATGGGGAGGAGGTGATGGGACCTTGTCGAGACGGGAGGATCGCTGCCAAGCGTTCCTGCCCCCCTTCTTTTGAAGCTCTGAAGAGCGTGGTTTCATTCGGAGTCGGTAAGGAAGCCTCGCCGATCCTGGCCCCTGCGCACCAGCCGTCGCCTCGCTGTAAGTTCAGGGCTTATTATGTTCCACACTGTCATTTTCCCCCTCTCGAATCAAGATTTTAATTATCTGAAGAGCCTGGAGATACATATTCTCAACTCCTTTTTGTACCTGAAAATGCAATTAAGGAAAACACGCTGCTTTTCCAAAACCTGACATTAGTGGCTACAGCTCTGCAGCCCGGTGGGGGAATTAAATGAGAAAAGCTTCGAGGGACGCACGAGATGGGGAAATATCTCAGAGAAGCTTGGGGAGTGTCTGAATTTAGGGATAGTGGCATCTTCCAAAGCACGCTTTGTTGGTGTTGCTGGGTGCTTCCTCCCGTAGCCAGGCAGTGCACGGGGAATCTGTCTAATTAAAGTCTTTGCAAATTAAGGCAACTCGGTTTTGGCTCTTCGCTGGTAGAAAGGGGGAAATTTGGACGTCGTCCTTCCTACGTGGGGGGGGTGGATGGCAGGACTCGAAATTCGGCTGTTCCTTTGTGTGCAGCCCTAGACAGCAAAAGCTTTGGGTGTACAGGGCATTGCGTTTGATGGGGCTTTTTTTTCACCTGGAATAGCTTAAAATGTAAATATTTAGAAAGTACCTTTCCTCGTTAAGTACTGATGATGAAGTACTTCTCAGATCGCTTAAATGGGCTGTATGATAATAGAAAAACCCTGTGCTGTGGGATACTGGAGCTTTCTTTGGTGTTTCAGATTTGCAACAAAGCTGGGTAATAAAAAAATCTGATAAACCACTTTGCTAAAGATGCAAATTCATCCCAAAAATCTCTAGAATGCGAAAGGCGGGGCAGGCGCTTTGCATCCACCTCGGATGTGCTGGGGCCGTTCCTCCAGTATTTCCAGGCAACTTGTTTTTGTCATCCTGTCGCCCTTTTTTGTCTCATTCTGATGAAAAACCGGAGGAAAACTGGCACCCTGGGGTGTTTTGGGGTGAAGGTCGTGCGACGGCGATGCTGGCCACCGAGCGATTTTGGCTGGAGAGGAGAGGCTGGATTGTTTGGGAAGGTTAAATCGTGGCTCTTCACCATTTAATTTGCTTAATTCCTGCTGGTGTGTCCCGCGAATAACTGTCAGTATTGCAGAGATCGTGGAAACAACTGGGTTTTGGTCTTAAATACGTTTTCTTTGGCACATTTCTGTTTGCAGGGTATTAGGAAAGCTCGTGTATGGATTATACCCAGCCGTGGAAGCGGTCGTGATAGCATCACACCTGCCCCCCTGTGTATTTATGGGGGTTATTTGGGTGGGCTTGACCCCCACAGCCTTTGCTGGGTGATATATTGGTGGTTGCAGATCTCTCTGGGCTTGGATTTCCTACCTGGTAATGGAAGGAGGGAAGAGGAGAGCGCGTTTCCTTTGCACAGGAAAGAAAATAATAACTAACATCTAAAGCTGGAGGGAGAGAGGATGTTTCTTCATTTGAACCCCGGCGATAAATCTCTCCAGCAGTTCATCACCGTGTCGTCGGACCCGGAGTTTTCCATCTGTGTTTTGCCTGACATTTTTGAGCGCGAGGGAGTTTGCTCAGTAATTGCAAATGCCATCAGTTAGCGGGTGGGGGCTGTGCTGCTGCTCTTTTCCTCCCAAAAAGCCATGCTCTGCTCCGTGTACTTTTTTTTTTTTTTTTTAATGCTGAACCCACCAGAAGGAAGTTACCATTTATTACAGTGAATTTTCGTTTAGAAACTGTTCGCTGTTTCTATAGCTCTTGCCAGTGGTTAGAGGATGCAACGTGCGGCTTTTAATTAGGGATGTTCCCTACATCGTTGACGGGGCAAGAGCAAGAATCGCCTGCCAAATTTTGCTGTCTGAATACGCTTGGTTTTAGGATTGCCTTCAGCTGACAGTAGCCCCGAGATTGCTCCGGCGATAAAAGAATATTAAGTAGTTTTTCTGTGTGCATGAAGTTAATAAGTATATGATTAGCGAGCGTGGAAGATAAGAAGAATGGTATTTAACCAACAAAGCCAGGAAATTCCAGATTAAAGCGTGGATGTTTAACTTGCTGCTCTTGGGGTTTGGGAGTTGCGTGCCGTCAGGGAGTTTTGCCCATCTGTAGGAATAATCCTGAAAAGAGATGTTTTTAAGGCACCCAGTGAGTTTTGCCCATCTTTAGGAATAATCCTGAGAAGAGACTTTTTCCAAGGCACGAGGAAAACAAACAGATTTGTTTATCTTCCATCTAATCCTGAAATTTCCTGTCAATACAGCAACACCTCCCTCAACCAGCCTGACAGATTTTTTCCCCTCTTCTTCTCATGCCAAACTTTCAGCTCGGGATGAATTTTTTTTTTTTTTTTTCCCCAGCAGTTTCTGTCCCTTGACAGTAGAGTTTTTATCATAACCCTTTAACTGCAAAAAAAATCCAGCAGAGCTTTTTGCCCGGTCCAGGCTCCCGCGGCTGTGCGCTGCTCTCCAGTTCTGCCTCGAGGAATGCAGAAAATCAGGATTTGAATGCACAGCAAGAACACACACCTTTCTGAATCTTAGAAACTGCTCAAACTCAAGCTTTGCGTAATATAACTTCGGACAGGCTGGTTTTGCTCCCTTCTGGGAAGGAGGTCTGGACTGGTGCGTTTATTTTTTTTCTGCAAGAAGAGGAATTGTTTGGGGATTTTTTTTTTGCCTGAAAGGGACTTTTTGTTTTGTTTTGCATAGGCAACATCTACTAATTACAGCATTTCGGTCATGCTTTTATTTCCTCTGCGCACAACCAGGGTGCTTGAAGGAAGACTGCCTGCCCCGGGGAGGGCAGGGATGCTGAACTCTCTGCAAATATATAAGGGAAACTTTCTGCCACCAGATAAAGTCATTTATGCTCTTAGCTACTTGTCCATGATTTCGGAAAGAAAAGCTCCACCGCCTTTGAAATGAGAATTGGGGTTTTTTTTCCTGAATTTGCTGAGTCCTTGGTATGCCCGTCATTAGCAGAGTTGTTACAGCCTGGGCGCGTGCAGGGAGAAAGCAGCAAAATTAGGTTGGTTTTTTTTTGTGGTTTTTTTTTTTTGATCCCAATTATCAATTAGTGAAACAGCCGTCCCGAAGCACAATTAATGTCAGGGGGGGAGGTTTATTTTTTTTTCCCCCCTCGGCACCTGCCATCGGATAGTTCCCGGCCGGCTCGGAGGCTGCCTGGCCAGGCTAATTATTTTATACTTTGTCATGCGAGCCGCGCGCGGTGTCGGTCTCGTTCCTAGATTGATGCCGAGGTGCTGATCCGGGCGCCGCCGACCCCAGCTGCCGGGAGGAATCCATGAGCGCACGGCCTCGGCTATGGACATCGTCCTGTCGGATTTTGTTCGCTCGACGGGGGCAGAGCCGGGACTGGCCAGAGATCTCCTCGAAGGTAAATAAAATGGGGAATAAAAGGAGGGAAGGAGGCAAGGGGCGGCTGACGAGGGAGGGGGGGGGCTGGTAGGAAAAAAAGGGGTTGCAAGAAGGGCTGGCCAGACCCCGGGGCTGGTGGCTGGTGAGTGCGATGCCGGAGATAGTAAAGCCCGTGCCCTCGGCGGCGCGGCGGGTGGAATTCTGCCGTGGTTTCTCGTTACGCGTCCATCAGGTAATGAATTTCAGATGCTGGGGAGGAGAGCGCAGCAGCGGGGAGCGCGGTTTCCCTGCCCTTCGTCCTCTCCGTTCGCCTGTGTTGTTCGCTGCGAGCGGCAAAACTTGAGGGTTTATTTTTCTTTTTTTCCCTTATAGCAGCGATGCCTTCAGAAGGGTTGAAGGAATAGCACGAGGTGAAGGCTGCCCGTGTTTTCAAACTAATACGGGGGTAATTATAGAGGCAAAACCGTGCTGTTACTGGTATATCTTGTTCTGCTTGTGAAGGTGGTTTGATTATGCTGATATAAATTACTGTTTTGTCGGTGCCAGTGACCTCTCCTGGCAGAGCATCCCCTTAGAGCCCCACTGACGCCCGGCGTGGGAGGCTCCTCCTGAACAGGTTTCAGGCGATGGGGGTGCTCAGGGTGCTCGGGAACTGTGAACGCAAGCACCCTCCGCGTTCATCGTTTGCTTTTTAAATGGGCAGGGCAGCCCTCGAGAGCCTCGGCACGCCGCGCTGGCAGCTTCCCAGGGCTCCACCTGGTCTTCTAAGTGTGCGTGTGTTTGCTCTAAAATAACAGCGTGATGTTGGCTTTCTCAAAAACTCCGTAAGGTGGAGAAGTTGCTCATTAGTGATCACCTTTAGTTGAAGGCTGCAGGTAATTTTTTTTTTTCACCCTGTACTTACAGCGATGGGAAGGGTAGAGGAGAAAGAATACCGGGTCTTAATTTTGGGGCTGTAAGCTTGCTCGCGAGCGTTGCCTTTGGGTCAGTGTTGACAAAAGGATGGTGAGTAAATGCTGGCATGTGCTGGAATGCTGGAGGACAGAAATATTGCATGAGAAGCAGGGCTGTTTGTACGTAATTAACCAATCTGTAATTATAATGCAAGACCATACTTGCTGCGTTTCTTCCTCTCGTCCCTTTTCTTGTATAATGCAGCTCATTTTTGTTGTTGCTTGAACCCAGGACCGGTTGATGCTCCTACAGCATCTGCACCGGCTCCCCGGCTGCTGCCGCTCCAGATGCTCTCGCAGTGATGAATTCAAAGCCCTGAAATTGTCTCTAGAATCCGTGTCTTTAGGCAACTTGCTCCACCTCCTTGGCTCTAGCTCTGCTCCTCGGCTCGGCGCTTGCAGCATCGATTCGTAGCTTTTTCCCCTTCAAAACTCCCATTTGCTTTGCTGGGGTCGAGGCTTCACCCTTTAATTTTGACAGCCAAGCGTCGTCTCGGCGGAAGTCTGGCGAGTTGTGGGTTTTGTGGTGTGTTTAAGTTCTGGTTTCTGAATTTAGGTTGCTTTGTTTCATGTCAGGATTTCTAATCCTATCTTTCGGAAGGAATATTTAGGTTTGCGATAGAAAAGGTTAAAGCAGATATTCCCTCAAACTCTCCATCTCCCGCTTGGCGCATGGGTTGATTTATTTTGACATCAGTAGTTTCAGCTCATTTTCATGACGGGTTGCTGCCATTTCTCCTCCAGCCTTGGTGGAGTTGACAACTCCAGGGGTGAAAATGAGGGAAAACACAGAGATTTTTCTTTTTTGGTCAGATATTAGGGGGAAGCAGTCAGATAAAAATAGATGTATGAAGTGAATTATTCAGATGTGGAGTTTGAGGGCGGTGTGAGTGATTCAAGTCACGTTTCCTGTATGTGCATTGAGTTTCGTGCACGTCTCAAGTCACTGGCTGGCGGCGACGGACGTTCTGCTGGGGGATGGTCGTCTCCATCATTCTGTTCTCCAGCACCGCTGGAAGCCCGTCGCCCCGACCACAAAGGGCTGCAGCGTACAAATGCCCCCAAAGCTGAAGAACTGGGGGAGAAGAGGACATAGTAATTGGGAAAATTATTTAAGTTCTGCTCTTTGAAATCACCCCGTGTTCTGGCAACGAGAGCTGTAGCATCACGTGGCAGACGGGCTCTGGGTCGCTCTGTGGTTGAACTCGTGGTGTCCCCAGGGAACACCCGTTTTCCTGCCGGAGGAGGGAGCCCCCTTTTTATCACCCAAGCACCAGCAAAACCTCCTCTGTGCAAAAGTTTCCCTGAACACCTCAAACTGCCTCTTTTGTGCTTGCAAAAAAAGCACCAAGTCCACCAAAGACACCCTTTCCAGGGGCTTGCAGATAATTGTCCCGTAATAGTGGGGTTTAGGAATCCTTTTGGCTGCTGTTGGCTTGCATGGAGTTTCCAAAGCTTAGCTTTTTTTATTATTCTTTTTTTCCAATTTCTGAAGCAGCTGCTGGTGAAGATGTTTGGGGATTGCAGCTGCAGTGGGTCGGTGTCACCAGCGTGGCCTCCTGTCACGGACATGTTAAAGCCAATAGCGATGCGACAGCAAATTTAATTTTAATCTGATGGGTCATTCTCATTCCTTGATACTGATTCATTATTTTATTAAAAAAAAAAAAAAAGAGGGGAAAAAATTCCCTTTGACTCAAAAGGTAAAGCTTAAAATAACTTTCCGTTTGGAGTCAGTCATTAAATGCTGCAAATTACATCTCTCAAAAGAATTTAAATACTCGAGAAGCGTATTTCCTTTAGGGAGTTAGACATAATGACTTCTTTTATTGTCTGGGAGCTATCATATAAACCTATTGGTGGTTTATATATCTTTCCTGTAGTGGAGCTACTATATGTAAAGTTGGCTTGCTTTCTACACTGTCTGCTAACTTGCTAATTTAAGAGCCTAGATTAACAGTGATTGTAAAAAAAAAAAAAAAAAAAAAAATCACAATTTTCCTAAATGTAAGCCATATGGTAGAGTTGGGGGGTTTTTGCTGTGTATTCTTGCCTTTGGAAGACAATGGCTTTTCAAAGGTCAATTTATTGCATACTGAAAGACTGTGGCACATTAGTATATATTATGTTCTCGCAGCTTGCTGGGTAGTGTTAAAAGGAAATGGAAATGCTTTAAGGATTCATTCAACTTCATGAAGTTCAAGCTGTTTTGCTGAATAATTTATCTGGCCAAGAATGTCAGGAGCCTTCTGAAAAGTCGCCTGGGTACCGCCTGGCCTGGCCGGCACCTTGCTTGCGTCTGTATTTCGCGCGTCAGCTCAAAAAGAATTGGGTGACCCTCTCAGCCCAGGCAGAGGGATTTAAAAAGTCCTGTTACAAATCATCAGCTTTTAAAGCTGCGTGATTTCGCTCGGGCATTACACTGTGAGGACGTGGGGGGAAAGAGGGCTGGCGGCTGTGAACTTAGGCAGCCAAGAAGTGGTGCCTGCCTGGCGGTGGCTGATCTCCGGGGCAGCCGGAGGGTTGTAAAACAAAGCGCTGGGTGAGACCAGAGGCAGCTGGCTGGTCGGTTTGTACAGATGCTGGTGGACGCGACACAGCCTGGACCTTCCATTTCCCTTTCTTAAGGGCAAAATTATGTTTATTCTACTCCGGTCCCGTGCTCTGTGCTCGGTGTATGCTGTTGTGGTGACCCTGCCCTTCTTCGTTTTGCAGCCAGGAATCATATTCTGGCAAAATGGTATCTCAGGCTAGATCTAAGGCAGGAATCCTTCTCTGTGCTGGGGGAGAGGCGCTGGCCCTGGGTGCCCAGAGCAGCTGTGGCTGCCCCCTCCCTGGAAGGGTTCAAGGCCAGGTTGGACGGGGCTGGGAGCCCCCTGGGCTGGGGGAAGGGGGCCCTGCCCGGGGCAGGGGGTGCCACTGGAGGGCGGGGGGGGCTTTAAGATCCCTTCCCACCCAAACCAGCCTGTGATTCTACAAAAATTTGAGGTCTTTGGACCTTTGTTTAGGTTTTGCAGACGTCCAGCAGCCAAGAGCAGTAGCTCCCTCCAGGCTCTGGATGAGCCTCTGCACACCCGAGGTGTAAACCGTAACCTGTGCCCGTAGAGCCAGCGCTTTATAGGCACTTCAGGTTCGTGGTTATTTCTCTTCCAGAAATGCAAATCCTGGAGAGAAATATAGCAACCAGCTGAAGGAGTGGTGCTGCACCCCACTTTCCTCCTTGATTCGGCTAGATGGCCTTTGTGCTTCAAGCTAAACCACACTCTGACTGGGGTCTAGTGTGAATCTTTGAGGGACTGACTTGATTTCTCTCTCGTGTGCTGGTGACCGCTGTTGTTACCTTCCCATCCAGGCAAGAACTGGGATCTGAGCGCAGCCCTGAGTGACTTTGAACAGCTCAGGCAAGTGCACGCCGGCAACCTACCCCATTCCTTCAACGAGGGACGCAGCTATAAACCCCCGGAGAAAGAGGCAGCCCGTCCCGGGCGACCGCCGCTCCAGCGGCAGGATGATATCGTGCAAGGTCAGTGTCACAAAAATGATGGGGATCAATTAAATCTTCCTTCTGGTGCCTGGGACGCTTACACGCTGGAGCGCTCCAGCCACTTGCAACCACAAAAATACCAGCCAAAAGCAGCGATTTGATAATTGCTCCTGTGAGGTTGGGGGCTCCTGCACCGTTCCAGGTGTTTTTTTTCATCTTTCCCTCGCAGAAAAACGCCTGTCTCGAGGCATTTCCCACGCCAGCTCCACCATCGTCTCCCTGGCCCGGTCCCACGTCTCCAGCAACGGCAGCAGCGAACATCTGCTGGAGATGCCCATCTGCACCTTCCAGCTGCCCGACCTCACCGTGTACGCCGAGGACTTCCGCAGCTTCATCGAGCGAGACCTCATCGAGCAGTCGATGCTGGTGGCACTGGAGCAGGCTGGTGAGTGTTGGGTTGGGTTGGGTTGGTTTGGGTTGGTTTGGGTTGGGTTGGTTTGGGTTGGTTTGGGTTGGTTTGGGTTGGTTTGGTTTGGGTTGGTTTGGTTTGGGTTGGTTTGGGTTGGTTTGGTTTGGGTTGGTTTGGGTTGGGTTGGTTTGGGTTGGGTTGGGTTGGGTTGGGTTGGGTTGGGTTGGGTTGGGTTGGGTTGGGTTGGTTTGGGTTGGTTTTTAATGCCGATACGGCGCGGCGGTGGCAGTTTTGCGGCGGTACCAAGGGGAGCGAGCCCGAGGCCGCAGAGAAGCGAGCTTGTCGCAAGGCCCCGTATCGGCTGGGTATTATTTCAGCCCTTTTGAGTAAGGCTCTGCTTCGCTTTGCCTCCAGACACTGAGTCTAAATAAATTCTGGGTGTCATCATCGCTCATGCAGCTGAAGGGTAACGCATAAAGTTGCATTATCTCACCCCCCTGAGCTTCCCTGTGCCCTGCATCACCCTGCCAGCTTTACTGAGGGAAGGGGGAAAAAGAAATTCCTGCGTAACACAACCAGTAGCTCATCACCCCTGACAAATATTAGAAGCGATTACAAACACTTTAGATCGATGATGCGTTTTTACGTGCTGCTTCAATGCGGGAAAACTCGTCTGCTGGCTTTCTGTTTGCCCGGAGAGGAACCACCTTACGTGTGCAACTGGATTTGTTTTCCAACATTTCCTCCTGAATAGTTGCTAGGTGATCTGTAAATAAGATTTAGCTGGTGAATGAATGAGATCTCCGGGCTGGCGGAGAAAACCTAATACGTGTTACCAGGGGAGCTTACGTGGGGTGGGGGCAGAAGGGCCACCAGGCGAGATCTCGGGAGCCTTAACACCTCCCCTTTGTTTCTGACACCGACGCACATACCTAGAAAACTATTCCTTCGGAGATAACCTGTATTCTTAATGTCAGATTTTAGCCCTCTCCTGCTCGAGTGTTCCTGTAATAAATATGCTCATGTTTTGGAAATGAGCACTCGATCCGAGCGATCTCGTTACGGCGGCGCTGCCGCCCGTCGACGGCGAGGCCGTGGCGTCTGATGCAAATAAAACCAGGCTGATGTACAGCTGGGCGGAGGCGCGGGCTCGGGTCGCTCGGCCCCCCTGAGGGAACGGGGGGAGGGGGGAGGCTGCTCCTGGGCTGCTGAGCTGGCGTTGCCATTAAGTAATTGGTTTCCAGAAAACGCCTTGTGAAGACTAAAGCGCAGCGGCGTTTTGTGGGTGGGTTGGTTCTAAGTGGGTGTTGATCTTTACTAAAGAGCTGTGCTGCGGAGGGAAAATATCCCAAGCTGAATTCGAAGTAAGGTTTTGGGCCTGGTGCTGTGAGCTGTGGTGACTCCCGTTATTAACTTACTACGTGCTGTCCTTAGGGGATTGAGCAAATATTTTATAGACCAATAAACGTTGAGATACTCTTCTCCTTCTATCCAGAGATCCATTTACACCGCTGTGGCAGAGTAAGAGCGCTTTAAAGTGGTTGTAAATTGTAATGACATCCTCTTGGAAAGCTTTTAACGTGCTTAGAGTTGTGTGAAAAGGTCTTGGTGGAGCTCAAAATTTGGCCCTTGCCCCAACTTTAGCGTTCTTTGTCACAAACTTAAATGGGTTAAGCCTTGCCTTAGGTTTTGAAGATGCGGAGTGGTTTTTCTCGTTGCACACACGGAGGAGCAGCCGGTGGTACCTTGCTGGAGGCTGTTCAAGAAAAATCGGGAGGAACTGAAAGAAACCCCGGAGTTCGATGGCTTTGCCTTGGCTCCGAGGTCAGGCTTTCTCCCCGGGTCAGGGTGCCAAGCACGCCTTCAGAAGTCCTCCAGCAAACTGGCAAGAAACCTGCTTCTCGCTTCAGACTAAATATTTAATAATTTAAAAAAAAATAAAAGAGGCGGACTCTTAAAAACTGCTGAATGAAGAGGTCAGCGTCCTCGCTTCGCTGCGGGAACGGCCTCCAAGGAATGGCAGGCGGGTTCCTGGCTCTCGGGGCAGGAATGTCGCGCCTCTGAGTGGGCCCTCGGAGCAATGGGGGTGCCTCGGGAGCGCATCACCCGCCTTTGGAGAAGTTTTTCAGCCTGGGTTGAGCTCGTGCACGAGCGGAGGCGCGTGTGTACACGGACCCCGCTCCATCTTACCTCCCTGGCATCCGACTTGCAAATGTTTTTGCCCGTAAGTCATCGGCCGGACTGGTTCCCTTAGCAGGAGAGACGAGTCTGGGTCCGCCTTGCTGCTGCCAAAGGCGGGTGAAACCTCCTCCAAAGTTGGGTGCTGGGCTCCGCTGAACCGCCGCAGGACCCTCATCCTCGGCGGGACGGGGAGGCTGAGCCCGCGCTGCGGAGGGAGGTGTCCCCGGGGAGGGGGGAGCGAGCTCCTGGCAGGGCGCACGCCGCCGTGGGTGACGGCGTGCCGGTAGCAGGGTTGGTTGGAAGCCTTCGATTCCCAGCCTTCCCCAAACGGAGGAGAAAGCAGCGACCGATGCGGGAAACGCACTCAGACAAGCTCTTACTGCTGCCAGGTCCCGAAACGGAAATGTTTTCTCCAAGGCGGCGTTTTCGTCAAAGAGATGGGCTCCAGGTGAGATGCGGAGACTGCGGATGAATTCTCTCGTTTTAGACACGTGAAAGGGGCTTGCTTCAGCCACAGGTGCCACTGCTTCGAGCTGCTCTCCGGTTTCGGTCTCTCTTTCAGCCCACTTCTAGATCCTGCTCCTTCACCTCCACCGGTGATTCAGCATGAGGGAAAAAAAAAAAAAAAAAAAACAAAAAAAAAAAAACATGAAAAACAAAGCAGCAGTCAGAGCAGGGAGGTGGTGGTAGGTGCTGGGGTTGGGTCTGTCACGTCGGCCCGAGGAGCACGAGGCCAAGTCATCGCCGGGAACGCTGCCTTTGTCACGCAGGGAGCGTAACCCCCGGTAGCCTTAGGGCAACCATTTGGGTTTTCAGTGAGTCACTCCTCATCCTCAGGCGGGGAGGAGCGCCGACCTTGTTCCTTCCTAGCACCGTGACCTATTTAGAGGGGCTCCTGTTAGAATGAAACGAGGGTATTTTACCAAAGATAACACCTTTTGTGCGCAGGTTCTTGGTCTCTGCTGGGACAAACAGATGTCCCGCAGCAAAACCAGCTGTGGGGTCAAACTGGACCCTGTAGGAGTGATGGTGCTGGACGCAGAGGAGGCCTCCTGGTGCCGGTGGACTTCTCCAGGTGTGCAGAGGAGCCACGCGAGTGGTGACTGCAGGCAGGTCCCTCATGCTCCTGAATCCGGTTATCTTCCCCATAGAGCTTTCCAGGCTCGTTCCTACTTAACCACGTGCAGAGAAATACATTGTTTTAAATACTTCCAGGGGCCCTCTTGGCCTTTCCACCGCCTTGATAGGAGCAAAACGCTCAGAGAAGGGTTTGGGGGATTGCGGTTTCTTTCGAGATTACTTCTCTTGCGTAACTGGGAATCTGTACAAATTACTCTGCCTGCCTCGCCGGGGATGTGCGCGGCACGGCGTGACCGCACGCTCCAAATAGCAATGCCACCCCAAGGTGTGTCCCCTCCGAACCGGACCCGGCTCGGCTCGGCGAGAGGTTGCACAACCTCTCCGAAGCACCGACCAGAGATGCAAACGCCCCTGACCCGGTGGGGAGAAAAAAAAAAAAAAAAAAAAAAAAAAACAACAAACAAACAAAAAAACCCAGCAAATTCTCCAGGAGCGCTGTGAAATGGATTAAAAAAAATAAAATAAAATAAAATAAAAGCAGCTCAGCGCTGCCTACAGTAGCGTTAGATTTTGGTTAGCTTTTGTGGGACGCTGTTTTGCTGCTCGGTTTGCTCCTCTGGCCCCGTGCCACTTGGCGCAGGCTTGCGCCTTCGCCGTGCCAGGAGCTATATTGAGTGAAAATAGCCGGCTTTTCCGAGCGGAGCTATTGTCCCGAGGCTGTGTACTAAACACTTTTCAACTCCAACGGGTTCCTTTCCCAACGCTGAGAAAAGAAATCACCCGCCTGGCATTGCAGGGAGCTCTACATTTTTATGTTTTCCTGTGTTTATCGGTGTTTAAAAACAAGTTTTCTGTATTTAGCTCTTCTGCAGCTGCTGCTGCGGAGGTTGTGCAAACAATTTCGAGAAATCCTGTGTTTGAGAGCTGGGGGTCCCTGGCAGGGACTGTGCTCGGGAGGAGGGAGAAGTTTGTTGGAAATGCTGGGAAAAGGCTGGTTTTCTGCAAGAGCAATTTCAATGCGACTCGTTACAAACCTGAACAGCATCCACCAGCCGAAAAACTGCCTGTTGCAGGGGATCTGCTGCAGAAAAGCTGCCGGAAAAAGTCGCGGCCAAGGGAGGCAGCGCCTGGTTTTGAGGGCACAGCAGAGCGAGACGCGGGCGGGGTTGTGAGTTCAAAGTCCTAATTCAGCCCAACTTAATTTCCTTGATAAATGTTTAACCTCCAGTCGCACTGTACTCGACTGCAGTCTGTATGTTAATTTTTTCCCAGCTTCTATTTTTAGATGCTCTTGACTTGAGTTACTACAAGTGCCTCATACTACCAAAAAGCTGCTATTTTTAAACGGCGTGAAGCACTGTCAGTTTGCATTTTCATTGGTAAAGCTGCTGGGATCAGCAAAAGTCCCTGCGTATCGTAGCTAAAGCAGTGAGCGGGGAAAAAATGACCACCATGAGGTGGTTTAAATAGGAACGGTTCGGTTACAAGAAGAATCAAGAAGTGGTTAGTAAGTGGAGAAGTTGCCGGGTGCCATTTGTGACAGGCGGTTAAAGAGATGTCTTCAGCCTGATGGTTTTGGGGGTTTGAAATAAATAGGGTGGGGGGACAAATGGATAGGAGGAGAACGCTGGTCTGGGGTAAAGTCCTGCCTGGGCTGGCTCCTAATTCTAATTAATTCCAATTTGTGTGACCTGAAGTTCAGCCTGGCCGTTTCCTTGCCATCCCCACGAAGTTTTGCAACTCCAGTCTCCCCCTTTTTTGTTGCTTTATTGCCGTCCTGGCTTCTTCCTCCCTCCAGCCACGGGGCGCAGCTCGAACTGCTCGTCTCTTTGGGTGTTCCCCCGGCAAATTCCGGCCGTTTCCGTCCTCGCTGATGTTTTTTGAGGGGATTAACCCGCCGGCCCCGTGTGGCGTAACGGGCCCCATTTTCACGCTCTCAAATATTCCCCCCAGGTCGTCTGAATTGGTGGGCGAACGTGGACCCCAGCTGCCAAAGGCTGCTGCCCCTGGCCACCACCGGCGATGGGAACTGCCTGCTCCACGCCGCCTCCCTGGGTAAGAGCTCGACTTGATTCGCCCGGAGCCCAATAGCAAACCCCTTCGCTTCAGACCTGGCTGACGGGCGCCGTGCCAGTGCCACCTCCCTTCTCCGGCAGAGACCCGGGAAGCGGCTGGGAGGACTCAGGACCATCCTTTGGGAGCAGGATGGAGCGTTTCCCATCCGTTCCCACGGGAAAAAGGGGGAAGCTGCCGCTGCTCCCGGCCGCCGTGGCAGTCGGTGTGCGAGCGGTCGCGCCGCTCAGGCTCTGCGGGAGAGGAGTGGGTTGGAGGAAGCGGGCTTGCCCGTAGCTCCTGTACTTCTAAAATACCTCTCCCCTTCCATTGGGCAAATTTCCCCGTATTTCTGGAGGAGATGGGAAATAACGGGGCCGCTCCTCCCCCCCTCTTGCAAAGTTTCAATAGCCCAGATTTGATTTCATCTCGTCGAGCGTGACCGTCGTGAATTTTCTGAGGCTTCCAGACTTTTAAATCAGCAGGGCTGTGCGTTTCCTTTGTATTTGTATTTCAGACAGATGGAAAGCACAGGCTCGTTTAACCCGGCCTCATTTTCCTATCCGATGTTGATGCAAAGGAGCGTGTGATTTTGTGAACAAATATTTTGCTGCATCTGTGAGATGCTTTTGAGTTGAAAGCAGAGGTGGCCACATCTCCATTGAGCTGCATAAGAAACTCAGTGCAGGTAGAAAGCGTAGGCTTTGAACCAGGAATTTTAATGTTTAGATTGAGAAACTTGCATTTCTCTGCCTCTGCTTCCCAATTTACCCGCTTCCCCCGGCTCGTGGCAGGCTGCAGGACCTCAGCAGATCGACGGAGCGTCGCCGGCTGCTGCTAACCCTCTGCTGCTGTTTCTTTTTTCCCCCGCCCCGTGCAGGTATGTGGGGGTTCCACGACAGAGATCTCATGCTTCGCAAATCCCTTTACACCTTGATGGATAAAGGGATGGAAAGGGAAGCCCTGAAGCGGAGGTGGCGTTGGCAGCAAACGCAGCAGAACAAGGAGGTAGGAACCAGAGCGAGTGCCGTCCTCTTTGCGGAGGGGAAAGTTGTGATAAAATATCCTGTGGGTCTGGGAGATGCTTCCTCTTGGGATAAAATCTTGGATTTTGGGCAGCTCCTTGGCTTGTGGTACGTGGCTGTACCGCGATGTATCCTTCCATCCAAACTGCGGCAAAATTCTCTTGATTACAAGGTAGGAAAATTCTTTCTTAGAACCGTGCTGTGCCCGATATTGATGGGAAACAAATGTCACCTTCAGGCCTTTAAGATCCAGCGGGATGTGACGGCCCCGCCGGGCTTTGCAGAGAAAAACAACGCCGTGGCGTAGGTCTCTCCGGCGTTAAAGATCAGCGAGACGCGCCTCGGTCGAGGCGCGGAGGGAACGCCTCCGCCGAGAAGGGCAATTTGTGAACTTGCCACATTAAAGGCTTTTCAAAGCGGTAGCACGGGGGGGGGGGGGGCACCCCCCCGAAAGGAGGGGATGTGGCTTTGTCAAGGTGGAAAGTCACCAGATGTCCTCCCGTGGTGAGAGACGGCCCCGCGGTGTTGAGAGGTTTTTTGTGAGCAGGGTAAACTTTTGTTTCCACCTGACACTGAAGGATGTTGTTTACTCTCCAGCTTCCTTTTTCTTTTTGGAAGGGCACGAAGATTCCTATCTTGACAGTTTGAAAAAAATACGTATTTCCCTGCTTGCAGCAGAGTAGTTAATAAATAATTGGAGGTTTTACTGCTGTTAAAAGCCTGCTCTCTAAACTGCGTGCTCCAGAATTTGCCAGCAGCAAAGTCCTGTGACTTGCAGATCTTAAAAGGGCTTGAAAATACTTGGGGCGTGGGCTGTGGGGGTGCCGTGCCCTGGTCGCCGTCCTCGGCCTGAGCCGAAGGATCTTGGCAGTCGGCGTGGGGTGTAGGTGGTGCAGCGGTCCGGGAATTGCGGGTCCCGCTCAAGCGGTTGGCTGGGATTCGAGGATTATGAGCTCCTCCTTTCCAAATAAGCTCTGAAAGAAGCAGCCCAGGGTGCTGGATGCCGCTCGGGATTTCACAACCCGCTCGGGGTGCAGCGTTCGCCTCCCGTGCTTTGCTTCCCCAGCTTTAAATCGGCGATGAAAGAATTCGTGTTGACGACGTAACCAGGAGCGGAGGAATTTAATTAACACCTTACAGAGCGAAGCGGAGGGCCGAACGTGCCATCAGTGGCTTCTGGTGCACGGCTGGAAGGTTTTCTTGGCAGCGTTGAGGATTTAGGATGTTGTGTTTGGATGCTGGAGCTCCGGTTGTGGAGCCAGGGAGAGGAGGAGGAGGGTAAGGCCGCTGCCCTTCCCGTGTTGTTTCTCAGCTTCTGATCTGAAACACAGCAGGCTCGAGCTTGGCCTTTCGCACAGCCTTGGGTTTTTAAGGTGTTTCTCCCCTTCCTCGGCACGCACGTGGCTTCGGATACCTTGCAACTCCGGGACTGTGTCGGAAGCTGGTTGAAAATCTTCTGCGTTAGGGAGGGAAGGTGTAATTCCTGAATTTAATACTGGCTGGAGGCTTTAATCGAGTAGGGTGGTTGGCTTCGGAGCGTCGCGGCTTTTCGAGGAGAGGGCTGGGCCCCCTGCGGTGTCGGGCCGCGATATCGCGCCTGGTGCGATCGCAGAAGGGACGTTTGGGAGTCGTCACGGGAGGGAACGGGGGTGAAGTGCAGGTTTTCCGTGCGTTGAAATCCCAAAGCAACCCTGGAGTATTTATGGGTGTGAAAACGGATATTTGTGGTGCTATGGTGTCTCTCATTGGATTTTTAAGGAAAATAAATTTTCTGTTTTAGCTAGTCTGGTTATCTGTCCCGCTGTCCCTTATCAACAGGTTGTGTCATCTTTAATACTGGAAGGATTTAGTGTAAGAATAAAGGTTCCCTCTCATTCTGTGGGTTGAAGTGTTTACTTCCACCCCACAAAAAAGCAGACTTTTATTTCAGGCAGATTATCTCCCCGGCTGGCTTGAGAACACAGATTTGGAAATGTGGGCTTTTCTGCATAACATATTGATTGGTTTTGCATAAACCCATAGAGAAAAATTGTGGCTGCGTGTATAAAACTGTGCTGCGGAGGTTGGAAAACACTTCCTTGGAAGATTTTTGGGGGGGTTTTATTTGTCGTTTTCCAGTCTGGTCTTGTTTACACCGAAGAGGAGTGGCAGAAGGAGTGGAACGAGCTGATCAAGCTGGCATCCAGCGAGCCTCGCGTGCACTACGGCACCAATGGCAGCGGCTGCGGGGGGTACGTGGCGGGGACGGCGCTGAGAAATAACCCATCTAGCTGCAAAACAGAGCGAATATCTTCCTGTGTGCAGCTCGGGGTAATTCTGGAGGGCAGGACAAGCGACGGGGCTGGGGATCGCCGCTTCGGTCCGGCTTGTGGGGTTTTAAGGGGAAGGGTGAAGGCTCACGAGGAACGACGAGAGGTCCGTAAAGCGTCACGGGAAAAGATCTGAATGTTGCGTGACCCCTTTTTTGGGGGGGGGGGTGACTCATACGCTGAACAGAAAACTGATCTTCTCTCCCGTTCCGTCACGTTGATGGCTCCAAAAGGAGAGTAAGACGCAAAAGCTGAGCGTTTCTGCAGTGTATTCCAGTCCGTATTTCAAGGGCACTTGGTTGCCGCAGCCGTCCCAAGCAAACACCACTTCTGAGGCTCTTTAGATCAGAAACTTCCAGAAATGCCAGGCAGCCACGTGGTTTCTCCTGGATACAAACCCTTGTCTTAGAATTGGACGTTTTGGGGGATCTACATCTAAAATCTCAAATTAGAGCTGAGATCAAACTTAATATGGTCCGCCTCTACGCAGCTGCCTATAAAGGCCTCCTCCTGGTTTTAAAAGCAATTATTGAATACTCAGGGGTTGAAAATTAACTTCTTTCTTACTTCCCCAAGTGTCGAAAGCTCTGAAGAGCCGGTGTACGAGAGCCTGGAGGAGTTCCACGTTTTTGTCCTTGCCCACGTGTTGAAGAGACCCATCGTAGTGGTGGCAGACACGATGCTGCGGGACTCGGGGGGAGAAGGTGAGAGTTCCCCTCTCTTGTGAATTATGCAAGGGAGTTCCCCCCTTTCTGAATTACGCATGCTCAGACTTTGTGCTTCCTCTCTACCGCGTGTTCCCGTGGGCTCGTTTTGCTCAGTGAAGCTGGATCTTGACTGGGAGAGCAGAGCACGGGGTGCGTTAGGCGTCTGCAGCGTGCTGTGGGTGATTCCCACGGAGGGCGTGAGACACGCAGCTCAGCATCACCGCCTCGTCTTCTGCTATTTCTAAGAGCATCTGTGTGAGGAGGGGTTTTTTTTTTCTACCTCTCTTGCCCCAACACATGTGTGTGGAGATGGGAAATTCCGTTCCCTGCATGTCGTATTTTCCACTAGCAGACTTAATTTCCTGTCACAAAAGACTAATCAGTTACCATCATTCTGTGTGCACGTTTTAAGTCGTCTTGTGGAGGAGTAAAGAAGAGGTTTTTTATAGAAAATACAAGTTCGTTTTGCGACTGTGTTCTTCCTGAGGTAACGTAGATGTCTATTTTGGCTTGTGGGTTTTTTTGCGTCCCTTGATCTGGCAGATAATTGCAGGTGAAACCTTGAATGAAACAAACAGATTGTTCTGGAGCAGTTTCAGTACAAACAACTCTTAACTCTAACCTATTATGAAACCTGACCGCCCTGATTTCTTTCCAGCCTTTGCCCCAATTCCCTTTGGAGGGATCTATCTTCCTCTGGAAGTCCCAGCCAACAAATGCCATCGTTCTCCGTTGGTACTGGCTTATGACCAAGCCCATTTTTCTGCCCTGGTATCCATGGAGCAGAAGGAACCCACAAAAGACCAAGGTAGGTGAAAAGCTGGACACGAGCCAGCACCGTGCGCTGGCAGCCCAGAACCCACCCGTGCCCTGGGCTGCAGCCAGAGCAGGGGGGGCAGCAGGGCCAGGGAGGGGATTCTCCCCCTCTGCTCCGCTCTGGGGAGACCCCCCTGCAGTGCTGGGGCCAGCTCGGGGGCCCCCAACAGCAGAAGGACCCGGAGCTGCTCGAGCGGGGCCAGAGGAGGCCACGGAGATGCTGGGGGGCTGGAGCAGCTCCCCTGGGGGGCCGGGCTGAGAGAGTTGGGGGGGTTCAGCCTGGAGAAGAGAAGGCTCCGGGGAGCCCTTCGAGCGGCCTCCCAGGGCTTAAAGGGGGGACAGGGAAGGTGGGGAGGGACTCTGGATCAGGGGGTGGGGGTAGGATGAGGGGTGATGGTTTTACACTGAAATAGGGAAACTTTAGATTAGATATTAGGAAGAAACTGTTCCCTGTGCGGGGGGTGAGGTGCTGGCCCCGGGTGCCCAGAGCAGCTGTGGCTGCCCCCTCCCTGGAAGGGTTCAAGGCCAGGTTGGACGGGGCTGGGAGCCCCCTGGGCTGGGGGAAGGGGGCCCTGCCCGGGGCAGGGGGTGCCACTGGGGGGGCTTTGAGGTCCCCCTCACCCCAAACCAGCCTGGGATTCTGTGATGCGTTGGCAGTCGCTGTGTGATTCGGTGTGAAACCGGTTGCCATCAGGAGTGATGTAGTTCCCGGTGGGCGCTCCGAGCTTGGCTCCCGAGGTGAAAAGTTTCTCCCTTTGGGCTTTCAAAGCGGGTTTTCTGTCCCTCGTGCAGCTGTGATCCCCCTGACGGACTCCGAGCACAAGCTGCTGCCCGTGCACTTCGCCGTGGATCCCGGGAAGGAGTGGCAGTGGGGGAAAGACGACGGTGACAACGTCAAGCTGGCCAGGTTGGTCACACCTGGGAGGGCTCCTCGCTCTGTCCCCAGCTGGGGATTTCTCGTGTGTGGTGGAAAGTTGTCCCCGGGGTATGCCACCTATTCAGTGGGGGAGGAACAGCATCTTCTTTGACTTCATTCTCTTCTGATCGTTTTGGGTAAGGCTGGGAGATCTCACGAGCTTCCTTCCCACAAGCAAAGAGATGTTTGCTCCAGACCCTAGAGCTTCAGGCTAGCTCAGGAACGAGACGCACCGGAGGACCGACTGTTATATTTACAGAGAAAAAAAGGTGTATTTTTCCATTCCTCTGTCCTCACTCAAGGGTACCGAATCTCTCCGTGTGGGCCCTGGAGCTGGGAGGACGGCTTGCAGGCAGACACCTTTCCTATTTGTGCCTCCGACATGGGCAAGCCCTGCCGTGGTTTGGGAGGCGCGAGTTTCCCGTTGTTGGGCCAGGAGGCAGCAGAGGTGGCCGTGTGGGTCGGGGAGCTGGAAGCAGGACGTGCCCGTCAGCTGGGAGACCTAGAAACCCTCCAAGAGCAAAGCCTTAAAATTCCACGCGGGTTTTACCGATACAGTATCTCATTTTGAGGGGTTGGGGGCCAGCGGAAAAGGCTGTCCCTGTGTTTTTAGCGGAAAGGATTTTTTTTTTTTTTTTTTGACCAGTGGAAATTTTTGACAAAACATCTTTACTCTTTTTCTGAAGTTGCTTTTGTGGAGAGGAGAATCATTTTGAAACCAGCTCTATTTAGATCTGCGACATCTGCCTTTTTTGTTATTTGTCTCACGTACGAGTAAGATCATTTTTCTTGAGTTCCTTTTAGTTCGTAGCAAGCTTGATTTTTGACGCGCGGCGATCTTATTTATTCATTTAGGTTTTAACTGAAAGGTTTGGAAGGCTACAAAAACGTCCCCTTCCGTATCGCTGCTGTCTCGATGCAGTTACACCTGCCACGTTAAAACCTGCTTTTTAACATGGACAACAGGCAAATAACCATAACTAGAGAGGAGACAACCTCCGTTATTAAAATGAAATTTGACTCGTAACTTTTCTTTTATCCTTGTTTTAAATTTTAGTGTGACGTTATCGCTGGAAGCAAAGCTGCACTTGCTGCACAGCTACATGAATGTTAAATGGATCACGTTGCCTTGTGACATGCAGGTAAAAGAGACAAGGAGTATTTTCTTTACTCTTTAATTATTTACACCTCCTTTCTGTGGGGCAGCAGCCGTGACGCCGTCAGCTGGCTTGCTCTCCTTCACGTGAGGTTGCCTGCGCCCGCAGAAATTGCAGCTAATATTGCTCTGAGCAGATAAACGACTTCGGTTTTGGGCGTGTGGTTTTGTTTTGGGGTTTTTTTTTTTTTTTCTAGAGCTTTTCCTGCCTGTTTTTACCCCTCACACGACCTGGAAGCGCGGCCCTTGTACGTCCCGCGGGGCAGGCTCTTGTGTAGGTGGCCGGCAGCGAAGAGGACGCTGCTTGTTGGTTTATGGCCACCAGAAGCTGCCTGGACACCCACAGTTTGACCGTAGTTTTCCTGGGACCTTTCCCCAGCGGGAAAACTCCCGGCCGCTTCCCAAACCCCCGTGGTGGTGCGTTGGCAGATGGCGGTAGCTGCCTTGACAGCATGAAGGGCTTTTTTTCCCCTTCCCCCTTTTTAGGAGAAAACTCCCCAAACTTCAACACGAGCTGTTTTGCTCTGCCTGAAACTTCCGAGGCGTCATCTCTGTAGCAGAGCTCAGACGGTGACGTTTCGGTTGTGACCTCTCAGCTGCTTTGCTGTGAAACCCCGGCCCCGGCCTTGCCGACGTGCGGAGGACGCCCTGACCCCCCGGGAGACGGCTGCCAGCCGTGCCCACCGTGCTTTTGGGTGACTGGGGGGGGCTGGATTTTGTTGGCCCCCTCCCCACCGGCAGCACCCCCTTCCTTCCCTCCAGCTTTTCCCCCGAAGCCTCCAGCCAGTTAAGACGTTTATGGATGTGCTGCCGGGGACGTGTCGCGCCGCGTGTGTTGGAACATCGTCCCCTCCGTTCTCCGAGCAAGCTCCTACTTCTTTGTTCCACCTTCAGCCTGAGGAACTCTCATCCGAGGAACTCACGGGACTTTGATATCTATATTTTCTTTCTCCCCAGGCGCCTTTGGCCCAGCCGGAATCTCCCACGGCCTCGGCGGGCGACGATGCTCGTTCAGCGGCCGAGTCGGGAGAGTCGGACAAGGAGTCGGTCTGCAGCAGCTCAGCAAGCAACGGCGGCAGCAGGGGTTGCAAGGACAAAGAGAAACCAAAGAAAGACCGAGAAAAGGACAAGGAAAAAGACAAAAAACGGGCGGACTCGGTTGCTAATAAGCTGGGCAGCTTCGGCAAGACTTTGGGAAGTAAGCTGAAAAAGAACATGGGTGGTTTGATGCACAGCAAAACCATCAAGGGCGGGGTGAGCAACGGGCAGGGAGATACCTTGGAGAAGAAGAAGAAAGGATCCTTGAAGTCAAGGAAAGGCAGCAAAGAGGAATCTTCCCAAGGAGACTTGTCGGCTCCTGTGGAGAAAACCTGCCCGGGTAAAGCAGCCCCCGAAAAGCCGACGGACCCCTACAAGTACAGCAACGACGTCAGGCTGAGCCTGAGCATCCTCCGGGCTGCCATGCAGGGAGAGCGCAAGTTCATCTTCGCCGGCCACCTCAAGACCAGCACCCGGCACCAGTACCAGGAGGAGATGATCCAGCGGTACCTCCTGGATGCCGAGGAGCGCTTCGCGGCCGAGCAGAAGCAAAAGGAGGCGGAGAAGAAGGCGCTGGGGAGCGCGGCCCCCGCCAGGAAGCTGGAGCCGGAGGCCAACACCCACAAGGGCGAGGAGGTGCTGCTCAACCCCGCGTACCACCCGCCCGCCCCCGCGTACACCATCCAGACCCCGGATCTGGCCGTCGGCGCTAAAATAGCAGCTTTTCCCACGGGTTATTCGGGCGTTTTCACTTTTCCCAGACCTTCCGTGGTGGGTAGCGCGGAAGGGTCGCGTCCCCCCGGCTCTCAAGACAGCAGGCGGCAGGTAGCGGGCGGTCCCTGCGGCAGCAGCCTCCCACCCTACGCCACCTTACCCAGGCACTGCGCCCAGGCGCGGCCGAGCCCCTCCCCGACCGGCCCTTCCCACCCGGGGAGGTTCTCCCCCACGGACACGGACCTCCATCCCACCCACCCGTCGGAGGGCGAGGGCTCGGCCCGCCTCCCCCCGCACAGCAACGGCTACCGGGAATACCTGGAGCAGGACAGCTGGCAGAAAGACCCGCCGGCGGACAGAGGCAAAAGCCGAGCGCTTTACAGCGTGCAGCAGACCAAATGCAAGCAGCCGAACTGCAGCTTTTACGGGCACCCAGAAACGGGGAATTTCTGCTCTTGCTGTTACAAGGAGGAGCTGAAGCGCAAGGAGCGGGAGGCTCTGGTGCACAGGTTCTGAGCGCTCTGCCCCGGCGCTGATCTTGGGACCCATGAAAGATGGGGAATGCAATAATATAGAGATATATATATATTTTAAATTTTTTTTTTGTTGTTGTTAACACACACACACACCTCCCCCCCCCCCCCATCCTCCAGGCTCCTCTCCCTGTCTGCAGAAGGAGGGAGCGGGTGCTCGGCCGGATGGGCTGAGGAATGGGATTTGGCTGGGGCGACGGGGGTGAATGCGGGAGGGAGAGGGGGCAAGAAAAAAACAGCCCCCCCTCCCTGCTTCCCAGCCCCCCCCCCCCCCCCGCTTCCCGGAGACGCCGCGAGAGGGAGGAGGATGCTCTTCAAGAGGCTTTTTCTGGCGAGGGGTGACTAGGATTAGGGGGGGCCGTGCTCAGGGTGGAGCACAGGGTGGAAGGAGAGAGGAGGGCTTTCTTCAAAATGATTCAATAAACCAGACCAAAGCTTTTGGAGAAGACAAAACGGTGGGGGCAGCACCCCCCCGCCGGGTCCTTCCAGCTGGGCTCTGACGTCACTGACTGCCCAGAACGGAGCGAAAACGCCCCAGCAATTTCAGTTGGAACGTCACAGACCTTTTTTTTTTTTCATTGAGAGATATTTTGTTTGGTTTTTTTTTTTAAACACTGTTTTTTATTTTATATTTCTTTTGCTGGTACTGAGCGAAACTTAGTCGGAATTGGACATTACTGGGGGGGGGATTTTTTTTTCAGTTGAACTCATCTGAGCCCGGCCCCATCGGGATGTATCCAAGCATCAATTAGCAGCAGGCCCGGGGCTCTGCCCTTCCGACGGGCTCGACTCTGTTTTTAAAAAGTTATTTTTAAACTCTTCCTCGGGGGCGGGAGGGAGACGGAGGGGGTGGGCACAGTGCTCGAGTGGTTTTGAGGTTTTTTTTTTTTCCCTGCAGAAGTACTGTGCAAAAAACCGTTCCGTTCGCTGGGACGGTGGGACCCGACTTAGTAAGAATCGCGCCGAGAAACGAGGTCAGTGTCTCCCCCCCCCAGCAATAACCGTCGGCGTGGGGATGTAGAGAGGACACCGAGCATCCCCCGGCGCCGGGAGGTAAATGCGCCGCGGGCTGCCGGGCGCTCGCAGCCCCCCGGGGACACGCGAACCCGCGATAACGATTTCTACTTGAGCAAGCACTACCTCTGTTCTGCTGAATCGAATTAACTCGGCTCCATTTTGCTGAGCCACGTAACTGACCTTAGGCTGAGGAATCTTAAACGATATTTTTTGATAATAGGGCTGAAGAGCGAAACGGTAAAGAGGAAAAAAAAAAAAAAAAAAAAAAAAAAAAAAGGGACCCGTAACCAACTTACACCCTCGCTGTGCTCCACTATGTTCCCTCCTCCCCCCCCGGCCCAGCCCCTGCGGCGCAGGACGGACCGTTCGCTCCCCGTCACGTCTTGCAGGGTGGGTTTAACTTTAGCACTGCAATGTTTGCACAGATTTTTTTTTTTTTTTTTTTTACATTGTTTGGTTTGGTTTTGTAACCACAGCTCCCAAACCGGGCTCGGTCCTGTATAGAGCAAGGGTTCAGCGTTTTACCACACGAAAAATAAAACATGAATCACACCGATCATTCAAATTACAACATTCCCTCATTATTATTTTTTTTTTTTTGCTTTGTTTTTCAGAAAGCACCAAACTATGCAATCCCCCTCCCGTGCTGATCCTGCCCGCTGCCCTTCCCGAGGAGAAGGGACGAGAGAACCGGGCAGAGGAGGTGAAAGTGTACTTAACACTGGAGAATCACCTGAAGCCTTATTCTTACAAATACCCTAAGGCTTGGTTCTAACCTACAAGTTTTACCAGTTTAATAGATCGATAGATACCTGAAACCCCACAAATTAAGGCCTTTTCTAGAGGGGGTGGCTGCACAGGATCCTAACGCTCTGGGTCAGGCCCTCGAAGCCGTTTGCCAACACCGTCAGTACCCGGCGATGGTTTCGCTCCCGTTTAAGTTTTTTCTCTGGTTTTATTAAACCGCCGAGCGCAGTTAAGCCTCGCCCGGCCGGGAAAGGGCTTTAAAAGACGGTCGCTGCAAGCCGGGGGTCAGCACCCGCTCCCCCAGATTAAATGCCAGACAGCAAATCTTTCCCTCAAATTGCAGTAATTCTGCTTTATTTTAACCCAAGGGGGTGGGGGGGGGGGGAGAATATCCAGCGCTGGTCCCGCGCCACAAGCTCTCGCCCCGGTTACCCTGCAGCCATCTCTCGCTTCGCCCCAAATATTGAGCTGAAACGGTTTTAAAAAAGCAAAACAAAGCAAAAAAAAAAAAAAAAAAAAAAACCTGCCTCACTGAATGGGGGTCACTTGGTTTATAGAGGAGGTTTTGCCGTTTTATTTTTCCGGTAATCGGAGCGGCAGCTTGCTTTCGGGTGGGGGAGCATCAAGCGAGAGGAGCGTGACAGAGTTGTGCGTAATAACATTTTAAGAGGGGGGGGAAGAAAAAAAAAAAAAAGGGAAAAAAAAGCAGGTATCCCATGTGTGCATCCTCCTGAAAGAAAATAATCTCAAATCCCAAATTACCAGAGCTGCTGTCACTCTTCTGCCTCCCGAGGCTTTTTTTTTGGGGGGGGGGGGAAGGGGGAAAAGCCAATTTGGCCGGGCGCTTTGTGTTCTCCTTAATGAAGTTTGACGGGGTCGTGGTCCCTCGCCGAGGATGGGGTGAGCTGGGGGGGCTGGGAAAAAGGGGCTCGTGTGCCCCCGCCCTGCCCTGCCGGAAGAGAAGGGGCAAAGCTCCCCCAAAAGTTGTTTTTTTTTGGGGGGGGGGGGGGGGGGGGGGCTGTGGGTGGGACCCCCGCAGCACGCGCAGGGCTCCCCGTCTGTGTCCGGTGTTGCTGGTTTTTACTGGGGTTAGTAGAATTCGTAGGTTTTTTTTAAAATCCAGATTGGGGGGGGGGGGGAATGAACTTCAGGCAAAGATGAAAAATCTTTGAAGAGTATTTTTTCTATGAAGGGCAGAGTTTTGACTATTCCCCCAAGCCCCAACCTCAGCTGGGTCGCACCGAACCGGCTGCATTGCATTTCTTCAGAACCACGAAGGATTTTTTTCAGGTCATTTTTGTTTCCTTTCTGGTGAAACTAATTTTTTTTTTTTTCTTTTTTTTTTTTTTTTAAGGGACTATTAAATACAAATTATATTTATTGAAAGGTGATACCTACCATCCACCGGGTCCGATCGTGAACACACTAACGCCACCGCCCACGCGATGGTTTCTGGGCCGTGGGGCTGGATTTTTTTTTTTCTGGCACCTACATTTTTTGAAGCAGGGGGGTGTGGGGAGGGGAGCGAGAGCCGCTCGCGCTCCAAAGCACCGCTCACAGAGGAAAAAGCACCAAACCTGCCCCCCGGGAGGGGGAGGCTGCGCCGTCATCCCGAGGTCTTTAAATAAGTGCACTTAATGGTGTCGTCGGGCCCTGGCTGCAGTGAAACTTTTCTTTAAGGATGTGCAAAACCCTTTTACAGAGCGTTTTATTTTGTCAAACGAGCTGATGTTACCCGGCCGCTCGGGGCGGGAGGCTGATGGGCTGCTTTGGTTATCACTAATCCTACAAGAAGTGACCTGAATTAATTCTGCAACTGTTTATTCACAAAAGACTATTTTTTTTTTTTTTAATTAAATACTAGGTTGGTGATTTTTTTTTTTTTTTTTTTTTTTTTTTTTTTACTCCTCGTGAGCACCGCTGTAGCGAGCACTAGATGGCGCGTCGCAATCGGGCTGTACACCGCATCCTTCGTTTATGCTACCATAGATTCATTGACAATAAACAACGTTCAACTAATTAACCCCTGGGCAGCGGCCGTGCCTCTTTCCTCCACTTCCCCCCCGGCCCCAACAAGCTTGGGGTGCCCCAAATTCCCTCCCTTCGTCCCCCTCCTGCATCAAGTTTTTGGTTTTTTTGCTTGGGGTTGTGTTTTTTTTTTTTTTTCCCCTCTGCTGTGGAGCACAGCATCCTCTTTGCTAGGGAAGAGGGACTGGGGATGATTTCCTTCTACTTAGGTACCAATTTCAGGTTTTAATTTCAAAAACAACCCCCCACCCATCAGCGTTTTTGTGGTTTTAGAGGCACCTTTCCCCCCGCTGCATTTGCAGGCCAGCACCCTGACAGTTCAATACCCAGGCAAGGCTTTGCGCAGCGTAAAGAGAAAAATCCTGCTGGCACGGGGCGCTTCGGGGGCCGGAGCTTAAAATGGGCTCAAAAAGAGGGAAATTGGCTGTGATGATGCTCAGCAGCAGCTCCAGCCCCGGGGCTGCGAGCGGGGACACGCGGCGGCGTTGAAACGAGGACTGGGGGGAGGTGGGAACCCTCTGGTTTTTTTTTTTTTTTGGGGGGGGGGGGGGAGCCAGGAGCGCTTTCCCACAGGATTTCTTTTGCGTTGGGCTTTTTCTTTTCCAGCTCCCCGTGTTTTTTCCTTCCTCCCAGCAGCGGCGAGCGGCCGCCCCGTGCCCAGCGCCACGTCAGTGCCGGCTCGCCCGCGCCGGCCAATTTTCCTCAAGCTCTCGGGGCGACCCGGGCTGACCCCGAGCTGGCGCAGACACTGCCCCGGCCTTGGAGCGCGGCCCTGGGTTCAAGCCCTGCAGGAAATTCCTTTTATCTGCCAGGTGCCAGAGCCAAAAACCTGGCCAATCTTCCCGCCCCGAGATGCTCCGCCAGGTGATTTTTCTGCGGGTGGAAAATTGGGGCGCACGAGCTGCAGCCACCCAGCTGAGGCTGCCCCAAAAACCTGGGGGGAAATGCACTGAAAATCAGATTTTTAACCGGAGCGTGTGCTCCAACAGGTGTTGGGTTTCCTGGGATATGCCAGGGTTTAGCCCACCTCGTGCCGGCCCCGGTGCTGTGCCGGCAGGAGGAGGTGAGCCGAGCGGGTTTTGGGGTCCCCAGGGGTTTTGGGGTAGTGGGGGGGGGGGGTCACAAAGGTGGCCCCAGGGCCACCATCCACCTGCTGTCGGGAGCAGGGTCAGGGTCCCCGGGTCCCTCGGCGAGGTTTGGCACGGGGTGCCGGCAGCGCGCTGGTTTTTCCGGGGTTGGGAGGAGAAGGCCGTGCTTCGGCGATGAGTCACGGAGCAGCTCCTTCCCCCCCCCCCCCACCCCACCCCGTGCCGAGGAGAGGCCGGGGGGCTGCGCGGGGCCCCCGCACCGGCGGAGCGGAGGGGTGCGGGGATGGGCTGGGGGCACCCCAACGAGCTGGGGGTTTGGGTGTACCCCGCCCCTGCCCTGCGCTGTACGACCCTTGGCTGGCGAAGCGTCGCTTTTGGGGTGCCTGGGGCTGTAGCATGTGCCTCATCCCGCACCAGCCATCCCTTTTGGGGTGCTGGGAGCTGTACGTGCCCCATCCCGTACCGGCCATCCCTTTTGGGGTGCTGGGAGCTGTACGTGCCCCATCCCGCACCGGCCATCCCTTTTGGGGTGCTGGGAGCTGTACGTGCCTCATCCCGCACCAGCCATCCCTTTTGGGGTGCTGGGAGCTGTACGTGCCCCATCCCGTACCGGCCATCCCTTTTGGGGTGCTGGGAGCTGTACGTGCCCCATCCCGCACCGGCCATCCCTTTTGGGGTGCTGGGAGCTGTACGTGCCTCATCCCGCACCAGCCATCCCTTTTGGGGTGCTGGGAGCTGTACGTGCCCCATCCCGCACCAGCCATCCCTTTTGGGGTGCTGGGAGCTGTACGTGCCCCATCCTGTACCAGCCATCCCTTTTGGGGTGCCAGGAGCTGTAGATCCCTTTCCAACGCCCCACATCCCTTTTGGGGTGCCTGGAGCTGGACATTTCTCCTCCTGGAGCTGTAAGTCTCCCCCCCCCCCAGCACCATCCATCCCTTTTGGGGTGCCTGAAGCTGTATGTACCCCAGCCCACACCATCCATCCTTTACGGGGTGCCCGGGGCTGCAACACCCCCAACCCTGCAGCACCATCCATCCCTTATGGGGTGCCTGGAGCTACAGGTCCCCCCCACCCCTGTTCTTCCTTTATGGGGTGCCTGGAGCTGGACACACACCCCCCCTCCCCAGCACCATCCATCCCTTTTGGGGTGCCTGGAGCTATAGGTGACCCCCCCACCCCTGTTCTTCCTTTATGGTGTGCCTGGAGCTGGACACACACCCCCCCTCCCCAGCACCATCCATCCCTTTTGGGGTGCCTGGAGCTATAGGTGACCCCCCCCACCCCTGTACTTCCTCTATGGGGTCCCCGAGGCTGCAAACCACGCCCCCCCCCGCACCATCCATCTCTTTTGGGGTGCCTGGAGCTATGGGGGGGGGGGGGGGTGTGTCCCCGTCCATCCTTTGCGGGGTGCCCGAGGCCGTGCCCCCCCATGCTCGGGGGTGTGTAGCGGGGGGGGGAAGCGCAGCGCTCCCGCCTGCTGCCGCCGCTCCGCCCCGCCCGGAGGGGGGGGGGCGGGATGCCGGGGGGGGGGCGGGCGGTGGCGCTCGGGGCTCCGCTCCGGCTCCCGCCGCCGCCGCCGCTCCGGGCCCGCCCGGCCGAAGTCCCGCCGCCATGAGCGGGGCCCCGGGCGGCCGCCGGCCGGCCTTCCCCGGGCTGCCAGGTAGGGCAGGTGCTGGGGGCGGAGCGGGGTTTGGGGGGGGGGCCGGGGGAGCTCCCGGGGGCCCCCCCCGGACCCAGCGGCCCGTCCCCGCAGGGGAGCTGGTGCTGGAGGAGGCGGCGGGCGCCCGGCAGCGCTGCGGCGAGGGCGGCGGCTCCGTCCCCGGGACGCTGCTCTGCACCAACCGCCGCGTCGCGTTCCTGCCCGCGCAGGTGGGACCGGGACCGGCCCCGACCCCCGCCCCGACCCCGGCACCGACCCCGGCCCCGACCCCCGCCCCGGCCCCGGCACCGACCCCGGCCCCGACCCCCGCCCCGCCCCGCCCCGGCCCCCGCCCCGGTCCTGGCACCGACCCCGGCACCGACCCCCGCCCCGGTCCTGGCACCGACCCCCGCCCCGGTTCCGGCCCACGCTGCCCCCCACTCCCTGCCCCCCCGAGCTCCAGCCCCCCACCCTGACCCCCATCATGCTGCATCCCTGTCCCCCCATCCCATCCCAGTGACATCCCAGCCCCAGCCTCACCCCCATCACGGCTGCACCCCTAACCGAATCCCGTCCTGGCCCCATCCCAGCCCCATTCTGACCCCCATCATGCGGCATCTCTGACCCCAATCCCATCCCAACCCCCTCCAGCCCCATCCCAGCCCCAGCCTGGTTGCACCTACACCCCCTCCCAGTAACCCGACCCCATCCCACCCCCTCGGCCACAGACCCACCACATTCACCCGGGGAACTCCTCGCTGCAGGACGCGGTGGGGCGGGCCAAGGGGCAGCCGCGGGGGCCAACACCAGCCGGATCCGGCCCCACTGCCCTTCCCGGGGCAGGGGAGGTGAGCGGGGGGGACACACACACGCACACACGCTGGGGCAGCTTCTAGCTCTGCCCCCCCTTCTCCCGCAGGCCCCCGGTTCTCGTGCCTTCCTCCACAGCGAGTACGACGTGGCGCTGCCCTGCATCCGCAAGCTGGTGGCAGGTAGAGGCGACAGCCCCCCGGCCCTGTGTGATGAGTTGGGCAGGTCTCAGCCGGCGCTCACGGCTCTGTGTGTGTGTGTGTGTGTCCCTCGCCCGCCACAGCCAGCAGCTTCACCAAGCCCAAGGTGCTGACGGCCGCCTCCACCCTCAAGTTCATCCCCGAGGAATTGGCTGTTTTCTGCCGGGATTTCCGCCTGCTCCGCTTCCAATTCCACGAGAACGGGCTGGCTCCGCAGGCGTTTCGAGTGAGCTGAGGGGGCTGGTGGTTATAGGGGGGGTGTGGGGGGGGGGTTACAGTGAGGCTTCGTACCTGACTCTGCGGTGCACCGTGGCTTTGGGGCGGGGGGGAAGGTTTGGGGGGGGGGGGGGCTCATGCCAGGTCCTGGCTTCTCTCCGCAGGTCGCCAACGCCATCGCCCAGGCGCGGGAGGCGGCTGCGTGGCTGGGGGACGCCGGCGAGGGACAGGATGGCTGGGCCTGCCCTGCCCAAGGCCCTTTGGAGGATGAGGAGGAGGAGGACAAGGAGGAGGAGGAGGAGGAGGAGGAGGAAGGCTCAGCTGCCACTTTGCTCTTCGAGAGCCTCCACGACTGGGAGAAGGAGCTGAAGCGCCTGGGAGCTGCGGGCTGGAGGGTGAGCGCCGTCAACGAGCGCTTCGACATGGCCCCCAGGTACGGCCTGGCTGGAAAATCCTCCCCTCTGCAAAAAACGCACCCTGTGAGCCCCTTGAAATGATTTGGGGGGCACTGGGGGGGGGTGGGTGGGCCCTGCCCTACACCCCCTCCTCTGCCCACAGCCTCCCCCGGTACCTGTGGGTGCCCAGTGGGCTCCTGGACCACGACCTGAAGCGAACGTTCGCCCACTTCGAGGAGCACCGGGTGCCTGTGAGTGCCCCGGGGGGGGTGCTGGGGTGCTGGGGTGCTGGGGGGGGAGGGGGGGGGTGGAAGAAGGGGGTGTGGGGGTGATGGGGGGGGGGGGTGTCACCCCGTCTCACCCACAGCGCCTGTGCTGGCACCACCCGGGCGGCGGAGACCTGCTGAGAGCCGCCAGCTTCCACGCAGCCTCGGAGCCAGGCAGCGAGGACGTGAGGTGAGACCCCCATGGGGTCCCTGGGGCAGTGGGGTGGGGGGGTCTGGGGGTGCTTCCCCCTTCAACCTGGCCCTACCCGGGGGTCCCTGTGCCCCCCAGGTGCCTGGAGGCTTTGCTGCTGGGGGGCCGCGGGCCCTGCGTGCTGGCCGACACCGCCGAGCTGCCCACCCTCGCCGACATCCAGCTCGCCCACCTGAAGCTGCGGGCGCTCTGCCTGCCCGGTGAGTGGGGATGGGGGGGGGCCGGAGGGGGAGGGGTGCTGGGGACCCCCCCCCACTCACACCGGGGCTCCGTCTCCTCTGCTGACCCCCCCGCTCCACCCTTCGCCCGTGCGAGCCAGGCGCGGCGGCGGAGGAGAAGTGGCTCTCGGCTCTGGAGGGGACGCGCTGGCTGGACCACGTCCGGTGAGTGGGCGGTTGGGGGGGGGTGGGGGTATTTTTTGGGGTGCAGGGGGCGTGGGGGGGGGGGAAACCTCACCCTAAAAACACCCCCATTACGGGGGATGGTTCCCCAGTGGGGCCACAGAGGTGGTGCAGCACGGGGGGGTTGCATCACAGGGTGGGCTGCAGACCCCCCGGCAGGCGACTGTGGCATTTTGGGGTGCACTGACCCCCCCCCACACACTTTTTCTTCCCCCCCCCCCCCCCTCCCCGCAGTGCCTGCTTGAGAAAAGCCGTCGAGGTGGCCTCACTGCTGGCGGGGAGACGCTGCTCCGTCCTCCTGCAAGGTAGCGCCGGGGCAGGGGGGAGCACCGGGGCTGGGGCTGGGGTCACCCCCCCTTCACCACCTCGGCCCCCCCCCCCCCCCAGAACCATCAGACCGGGACCTGAACTGCCTCCTGGCCTCCCTGGTGCAGCTTTTGGGGGACCCCCACGCCCGCACCCTCCCCGGCTTCCAGAGCCTGGTGCAGCGGGAGTGGGTGGCAGCCGGGCACCCCTTTCCGCGCCGGCTGGGGCTCCTCCGCCGCGACACCCCCCGCGAGGAGGTGCGAGCCACCCCCCACACCCCCCCCCCCCCCTCCCCGGCCTTGTCCCCATCCTCAGTGGGGGGACCTGGCTCTGTGTGTGTGTGTGTTTGTGGTGTCGTGTGTCCCCCCCCCCCCCCCCACCTCGGCCAGGCCCCTGTTTTCCTGCTGTTCCTGGACTGCACGTGGCAACTGGTGCGGCAATTCCCGGCGGCTTTCGGCTTCACCGAAGCTTACCTCCTCGCCCTCCACGACAGCAGCTTCGCCCCTTACTTCAGCACCTTCCTCTTCAGCTGCCAGCGCCAGCGGGGCCACGGGAGCCCGGTGAGCTGGGGAGGGGGGGGACGGGGGACACCCCCACACCCTCCTGAATCCTTTGCTAGCAAGCAGCAGGAGGTTTAAAGGGCGGATTTGGGGATGGAGATGAATCCTTTCCCATCCAGCTGCGCCGTGCCTCAGTTTCCCCACCCACGTCCCCTTTAAAAAAGATTGACACCCCCACCCCCCGCCTTCCCCACCACCCCCACCCTGCTCTTTAAAAAAACGCTCCGGTTTCACCCCCCCTTCTCGCCCCGGCAGCACCGGCCCCGCAGCCAGACCTACACGCCGGCGCAGGGGTGGCGGGAGCCGGCGGCGGGCGGGGGGGGCCGCACGCTGCCCGCCGTCTGGGACTGGGGGCTGCGCTACCGCCGGCACCACCGGGCCCGCTTCAGGAACCCGGCAGGACCCCCCGACACCGCCGGAGCCCCCGACACCGCGAACCCCCACCCTGTGGGCAGGGTGAGGCCGGGCTTGGCTTTGGGGAGGGGGGGCTGGGGGGGGCTGCCCCCCGCCCCGGGAAGGGACTCAGGCAGCTGCGTTGTGCTGCATGAGACCCCCCCCCCCATTCAATATGGGGTGCTTTGCCTGTTAAATCCCTCCCTAGTGCCCCGTGTCTCCCCAAAAGGTGCCCCATCCTTCACTGCGGGGTTCCACGCCCCCCCCCCCCCCGCCATTTTCCCTTCCCGCTGGCTTTGCCCTCCCGCTTTTTTCCCTAATCTCTACTTTTTCCCCCCGTTTCGCAGCCCGCCGACGCCTGGCCAGGGCCGGGGGTCGGGAACGTGTTTGTGCTGGCCAAGGGGACGTTGTCCCCCCAACCCTTTCCCTGGAGGAGCGGGCGCCCCCCCCCCCCGCCTGTCCCGCTGGGCCCCCTCCCTGGAGACCCTCAGCGAGCGAGGGGGGAATTGGGGGGGCAACCGGCCCCCCCCGGGGCTGCTGCTGCCCTGCGCGGCGGGACCCTCCGTCCGGCTCTGGCGACGCTGCTACCTGCGGGGTCTGCCCGAGGCACAGGTAACACCGGCACGGGGGGATCTGGGGGGGGGGCCTTGTGCCGGGGTCTATCTGGGGCCACAAGGGGAAACTGAGGCACAGCGGGGCTGCACTGGGGCACTGGGGGGGGCGGGGGGTGGTTCGGAGGGGGCTGCTTGTTCCCTGGCTGTGTCCTGCTGCCGGGAGGCGGGGGAGGCTGAGGGGCGGGGGGGGAGTCTGTGTGTGGCTGTCCTGGCCCCTGGTGTGTCTGCCCTACCTGTGTCCATCTGTCCTGACCCTGTGTCTGTCCATCCTGACCCGTGTCCATCTGTCCCACCCCGTGTCCATCTGTCCCACCCCACCCCATGTCCGTCTGCCCGTCCCACCCCATGTCAATGAATCCATCCCACGCCATGTCCATCCGTCCCACCCCGTGTCCATCCACCCACCCCACCCTGTGTCCATCTGTCCCATCCCATGTCTATCCCAACCCCGTGTCCATCTGTCCTACCCCGTGTCCATCCCACCCCATGTCCATCCATCCCACATCATGTCCATCCGTCCCACCCCGTGTCCGTCCATTCATCCACCCACCCCACCCTGTGTCCATCTGTCCCATCCCATGTCTATCCCAACCCCGTGTCCGTCTGTCCTACCCCGTGTCCATCCCACCCCATGTCCATCCATCCCACATCATGTCCATCTGTCCCAGCCCGTGTCCATCCATTCATCCACCCACCCCACCCGGTGTCCATCTGTCCCACCCCATGTCTATCCCAACCCCGTGTCCGTCTGTCCTACCCCGTGTCCATCCCACTCCATGTCTGTCCCACCCAGTGTCCATCCATCCCACCCCATGTCTGTCCCACCCCGTGTCCATCCATCCATCTACCCCAACCCCGTGTCCGTCTGTCCTACCCCGTGTCCATCCCACTCCATGTCTGTCCCACCCCGTGTCCATCCATCCATCTACCCCAACCCCGTGTCCGTCTGTCCTACCCCGTGTCCATCCCACTCCATGTCTGTCCCACCCCGTATCCATCCATCCCACCCCATGTCTGTCCCACCCCGTGTCCATCCATCCATCCATCCCACCCTGTGTCCATCCATCCCACCCCACGTCCATCCCACCCTGTGCCCATCCCGCCCCATCTCCCCCCCTGTCCCCGCACCCCTCCCCACCCTGACACCCCCTCTCCCCGCAGCGCGGGCGCTTCGCCCCGTCTCCGGCCGGCCTGGCCGAGGAGCTGACGCTGCTGCAGGACCGGCTCAGCGCCTGGCAGGCGCAGGGACCCCGCGCCGCGGCCGACAGCCCCCTCGCACCCTCGCGGTGAGGATCCCCGCCGCCGGGACCCCCAGCCACGCAGGTTTTGGGGACCCCCCCCGCCTCAAACCACCCCTTGAGCTCCTGCTCCTACCCGGGGCCGTGCCTGGAGGAGGTGCCCCCGACTCTAGCTGGATGCGGCGGTTTCTTGGATTTTCATGGAATTTTTGCTACCTCCGCTGAGGAGCTCAGGGCTGGGATGGCTCCGGGCGAGCAGGATCCGGCCCCACCGCGGGGTGTTACTGGGAGGAGTGTGTGTGTGTGGGGGGGTTAACCCCACAACCAGTACAGGAACCCCGGTGCTGTGCTGGGAATTGGACACCGCAATGGTGACGGCGGAGGGGGGGGGACGGCGACGGCCGCATCCTGGCTCGCTCAGCACCCCGGGCTGGCCGTGGGGAAGGCTGAGATCCGGCTGCCATCCCCTGCGCCACGGGACGGCGTGAGGGACCCGCTCCGGTGTCCCGAAATGTCTCGGGGAGGGGGACACACACACACGGACACACACACGGACACACACACGTGCGGCGCGGTCTGTACCGCGGAGCCCATTAAAGCGGGAGCTACAGGAGCACGTGGCTGTGGGGGGACTGGGCGGGGGGACCCCGGCACGGGGGGGCTGCGGACACGGGAGGCACCCAGCACCGTGATCCCTCCACACTGGGATCCCCTGGCACTGGGACGCCCCGGCACTGGGATCCCCCGGCATTGGGATCCCCCGGCATTGGGATCCCCTGGCACTGGGATCCCCTGGCACTGGGATCCCCTGGCACTGGGATCCCCCGGCACTGGGATCCCCTGGCATTGGGATCCCCTGGCATTGGGATCCCCTGGCACTGGGATCCCCTGGCACTGGGATTTTTGGCACTGGTATTCCCAGCTGACACTGGGATCCCTCCACGCTGGGATTTCCCACCACTGGGATCCCCTGGCACTGGGATCCCCTGGCACTGGGATCCCCCCAGCTCTGGGATTCCTCCAGACTGGGATGCTCCTGCGCTGGGATCTCCTGACACGGGGATCCTTCCACACTGCGATCTCTTGGCACTGGGATCCCACCTGGCACTGGGACTCCTCCACACTGGAATCTCTTGGTACTGGGATTTCCCAGCACTGGGATCCCTCCCTACAGGGATCCCCCTGCGCTGGCACCCTCCAGCTCTGGGATCCTTCCACACTGGGATCTCTTGGCACTGGGATCCCCCGGCTCTAGGATCCCTCCATACTGGGATCTCTTGTCCCTGGGATTACCCCGCCGCTGGGCCAGGGCTCCTAGCCGGGCGGGTGCTGCCGTCGCCTGTCACGACAGCGGATGTCACGCCAGCAGGGCGGCGAGGCCGGCCGGCTCCCCGCGCCTGCCCACACCCAAGATGGCCGCCGCGCTGAGCCGCCGACGCCACTTCCGGCCCGCCGACGCCCGGGAGGGGGCGGGGCTAGTGACGGCCGCTGAAGCGTCACGGCGCGCGACGCTGCGTGACGGCGGCGGCGCCGCGCGGGCGGGAGCGGACGGCGGGGCAAGATGGCGGCGGGGCCCATCTCCGAGCGGAACCAGGGTGGGCGCGGGGCCGGGCCGGGGCTCCGGCGAGGGGGGGGGGGACACGGGGGGTCCTTGGGGGGCGGGGCTGGGATTTTGGGGGGACACGGGGGGCCCGGGGCTCCGTGGGAATTTCCATGGGTGGACCGTGGGCATTCTGAGGCCGTGGCGGATCTCGGGGGGGGCGGGTGTCCCAGGCTCCCTGGGGATGTTTAGGGGGCGGGGGGGGGGGAGCATGGGGTCCCTGGAGAAGTGGGGTGCGCTGTGGGGGTGCCCTGGAGGCTGGGGGCATGGAGGGGAGGGCCTGGGCTCCCCAGATTCCGGGGTGGGGGTCAGTTGAGGGGGCAGTAGGCTTCTAGGGCGCACACAGGAGCTGGAGTGGGGGGACTGTGCTCACCCTGGAGAAAAGCAGGGGCTGTGGTGGGGCCCCCTGCTTGGGGGAATAATTAAGGGGGAATTGGTTAAAAGTTTAAAGGGGCTCGAGTCACTTTGGCATCGGGTTCCTGCACGGGCAGAGACTCCCAGCTTCCTGGGCTCGTAGGTCTGAGGGGGTTTTTGTTGTTTTTTTTTTTTTTTTTTTCCCCCCCCTGCCCCTGCCCACGCTCCAGATGCGACGGTGTATGTCGGGGGGCTGGATGAGAAGGTCAGCGAGCCGCTGCTGTGGGAGCTCTTCCTCCAGGCAGGGCCGGTGGTCAACACCCACATGCCCAAGGACCGAGTCACAGGCCAGCACCAAGGTGAGAGATTTACTGTTCCCTCCCTGGAGCCGCGCGTCGGAGGAAATTCTTCAGCTGGGGCCAGTCAGAGAGAGGTTGCTGTGGGCAGAGAGGGATGATCCCGAGGGGAGGTCCATCGTCCTTCCCCTGAGGGGAGCCGGCGGCTCAGGGGCTTCAAACCAAGTGGGGTTGGACGAGCTGCCGTGGGTCTGCCCTCTCCCCACGCTCTGTTCGGCGACTTGTTGCAGGCTATGGCTTCGTGGAGTTCCTCAGCGAGGAGGACGCGGATTACGCCATCAAAATCATGAACATGATCAAATTGTACGGGAAGCCGATCCGAGTGAACAAAGCCTCGGCCCACAACAAAAACCTGGACGTGGGGGCCAACATCTTCATCGGCAACCTGGACCCCGAAATCGATGAGAAGCTGTTGTACGACACCTTCAGCGCCTTTGGGGTCATCCTGCAGACGCCCAAGATCATGCGAGACCCCGACACGGGCAACTCGAAGGGTTACGCCTTCATCAACTTCGCCAGCTTCGACGCCTCGGACGCGGCCATCGAGGCCATGAACGGACAGTACCTCTGCAACCGGCCCATCACCGTTTCCTACGCCTTCAAAAAAGATTCCAAAGGCGAGCGGCACGGCTCGGCTGCCGAGCGTCTCCTGGCAGCCCAGAACCCGCTCTCACAGGCGGATCGGCCCCATCAGCTCTTCGCCGACGCTCCTCCTCCTCCGTCTGTCCCCACTCCTGTTGTCACCTCCCTGGGACCTGGCGTCACCCCTCCAGGTGGGTAAATCCTGGCGGCACCCGGCTCCGTGCCGGTCCTGGGGGTGGCTGCTTTCTGCCGTCCCTCGTGCCGAGCCGCTCCTTGTCACGGGGGGAGGCGCAGGGTGATTTTTGGTGACAGTCGGTGCAAAACCCGGCGGGATCGCGAGCTGGCAGGACTTTGGGAAGCCCCTTTCCCTCCCCGTGGCAGCTCAGCCTGCGCCGTCCCAGCACTGTGTGAAAGAATCCTGCTCCAGTCTGCTGATTCTCTTTTTATGGCTGTTTATGTTCCCACCTCTATCCCGATGGCTTGGGAGCGTTGTTTTGGTTGGTTAGTTGGTTTCTTATTTGCTTTTTATCCTTAACCGACTTCTCGTTGTCTCTCTTCCCAGGCCTCCCACCCCCAGGATCATTCCCCCCGCCGGTGCCGCCTCCCGGAGCGATGCCTCCCGGCATGCCTCCTGCCATGCCACCCCCACCCATGCCACCCGGCGCGGGTGCCCCCGGCCCCCCCTCCGGGGCTGCGCCGAGCGGGGGGCACCCCCCTCACCCGCACCCCTTCCCTCCGGGCGGGATGCACCACCCAGGTGAGCATCAGTCGGGCATCGGGCTCGGCAAACGTAGCTTGTCTTCTCCTTCTAGGGGGTGGGCGTGGGTAAATCCCAATCTCCTTCTCCTTCCACCCCCTTCCATCTCCTTCCCCGAGGTTCCCCTTCTTTAAAATGGAGAGAAAACTGTCGCCGTCCTCTGTTAAGGGGCTGAACGTGGCATTTTTCCCCGAGGTGTTGCTCTCTGCAGCACATGGGCAGCCTGGTGAAGAAAAGGGAGGGCCTGCGTAGGAGCGAGTACATCGCGTCAGCGGCGCTGCGCCTGCTTTCTGGGTTTCTCTCCTGGATGTTCCAAAATGTGTTAAAAAATCGCCTGGAGCGGGGCCCAGCTCGATTTGTGAAGCACTTGGGCGATTTAGGAAGTAGTGCCCTGCTGGGAGGCATCCCCTTGGGTCGAGACATTCATTTTCCCTGAGGTGTGAGGGAGCAGGACACGGGAGGGCAGGGCCTGGTGTGGCGCCGGCTTTTAAGGTCTCGGGTGCTGTTCTGGCTGCGAGGATGTTAGCGAGACTCCGAGGCGGCGGCGTTTCTCTCTAGTGTAAATTAATACGTTAAGTGTGAACCTTCTTAGCACAGTCTGCAGCTCTGCCAGGCAGGAGCTAATTCAAGACATGAGAACAAAATGTTTCTTTGATTTCCTTCCATTTTTAGCCCTGTAGTACTGGGGAATGAGCAGCGTATATATCTAGACTCTGGTTTCAAATGAAAAAATTAAGTGAAATTTGCAATTTTAATTTTGTTGTTGTGGTTTAATCCTGCCTGCTCTAAACCGACCCCTGCACTGAGATGCTCTCCCGCACCGGTTGATTAGGGTGCTTTGTGCTCGGGCCGTGTGAGTGACCAGATGGCTGCTGCTTGTCCCCGATTACACGCTGGCTTTTCAGGCTTTAGAGCAGCCAATTACACACGGCGAAGGAAAGCTTGACCGAGCGCTTCCACACCGCGTGCCCTGTGGAGCCGTGCCGGGCCCTTGCGTTTCTGATGAGGAGAAAAGAACCTGTGATATTTTTTATCGTTTTGCAGGGATGAAATAAGAAAGTAATAGGAAAAAAAAAAAAAAAAAAAGCAGATTTAGAGGGACCCAAGGCATTTCTGCTCAGAGCTCCAAAGTCGGGTTGCTCGGGGAGCATGTCCAAAATCTTTTTCTCTCCAAGGGGGTGGTTTCTCTCCCAGGCTCTGTCCCGTCCCCTCCATTTAACGCCCAAGCAGCGTTTCCTGTGCTGCAGCCTGTTCCTGTTGCCTCTTGTCGGAGAGTTTGGGGCTTTCTCCTCTCTAACCTCCCTTTTGGTAGCAGACCTCTCTCCGCAGACCCGGATTCAGCGCTCCTGGGGGCTGCGGGGGCCCGGCGCGGCCGTGCCGAGCGGCTCCCCTCCTTCCCCCCGTCCCTTGAACTCGTTATTCCCCCAGGAATGCCTCCCATGCAAGTCCACCACGGGCCTCCCGGGATGGGCCAGCATCACCCAGGACCACCGGGCTCCGGAGGCCAGCCTCCCCCCCGCCCCCCACCTGGCATGCCACACCCTGGACCCCCACCCATGGGTATGCCACCCCGAGGACCTCATTTCGGGTCGCCCATGGGTAAGTGGGTGCCTGCAAGAGGCGGTATGTGTTCTATTTCTCTCGATCGTACACACTTTTATTGAGTTCAGCGCTCGCTCCGGCCCCGCGCCCTCCCTCGGTTTCCTAGCTTCGCGGGGACGGGAAGGAGGTGACATCGCAGCCTCCCCGCGGCGAGGGGTCTTGGAGCAAGACCTGGCAGCCACCAGCTGCTACGCCAGGGTCTCCTGGGGCTTCCCTCGCGTGCGTCGCGATACGGGGCTCTGCGCTCTCTGGTGAGGGTTCCTCAGACCCGTCCTGCCCGCCGGCCGTGGGGAGACTCTTTCTCCATGACCTGCTGGTAGAGAGGGGGAAACGAGGGAGAGCGTTGGCCCGAAGCGTGGGCACCCGGTGGAGCTGGCACCCACAGGGGTGGGGTTTTTTTTGGGGGGGGGGGGGGAGGGGGCGGGTGGGAATCGGCTGTTTCCGCTTCTCCCCGCGGAGGTTAACGCCTGTGCTCTGTCCCCGCAGGTCACCCCGGCCCCATGCCGCACCACGGGATGCGCGGCCCTCCTCCGCTGATGCCTCCTCACGGGTACAACGGGCCCCCTCGCCCCCCGCCCTACGGCTACCAGAGGGTCCCCCTGCCCCCCCGGCCTGCGCAGCGGCCCCCCGGGGTGCCACCGCGGGGCCCCTTGAGGGGCCCCCTGCCCTAAACGCGGTAGTGGCAAAGCCCCCTCCCTGCTGGGGATCCTTCCCTCTCCAGACTTCCATTTCCCCTTGGTCTAACGTACCCTCACCCGGGAGGGGCAGTTGGGTCCAGCCCTGGCGCAGCTCCCCTTTTTATCTTTCCCTCTCCTCTTCATTTCCCCCATTTCTTTTGATAGTCTTCATTTTGGTTACATTTTTCCCCCCTCCTTCCGTTTTTCTCAGCCTTGAGGATTTTTCAAGACACTTTTAACAGGATTTACTGGTTGGTTTTTTGGTTTTTGTTTTGTTTTGGGTTTTTTTTTTTTTTTTTCTATGTAAAGCAGCGATCGCCCATTTACAAATAAAGCATTTTAAGAACCGGGGGTTGTCCCTCTGAGAGCGGGACGCGGCTCTGCCTGTGTGTGCTCGCGCCGCCACCTGCGACGGATTTCATCAGCGCAGGACAGCGCTGCCGGTACCGGAGCCGCCTATCTGTCTCGGTGAGGCGCCGAAGTAGCGTTGATGCACCCGGTCTCTTGCTTTATCCAGGCTGTTCGTTGGGGGCTGATGGGCTCCACGTAATCCGGTGTGCCCGCTGTAAAGAAAACGCGTGATTAAGCCTTAAAACCCGTCACGTCCTTGGGCGGCGTTGTCCCAGCGAGCGCAAGTAAATGGGCAGGATGGTTAGGGGAGTAATTTGGCAGTGAAACCTGCTCTCCCGAGTCCCTGCCTCGTCCATCTCCCCCCAGGGAAGGGACTTCTGTAGAAATGAGATCCCACGTTGATGTTGCAGCCACGGGAAGCCGTTATGGCTCTGGTTCTGGGGATATCGTTAACTTGGGGGGGGAGTAAAATCAGGGTGAAGCTTGGGGGAAGAGGTAAAGCCGATCTGGTCCGCGTGTTGTCTCCACACTCCCTGGGGCGGAGTGGCTGGAACCGTCCTCCCTCTCCTCCTGAATTGAGCGTAATTGGGGCTAGTGTCAAAGCAGAGTCTGTGGATGGGGAGTTTCACCCCTTCCCCGGGGGGGTGTGAGGAAGGGGAGGGGGGCTCGGAATTCTTCAGAGCTTACAGCAAGGCGCGGAAAGCCTGCGCTTGGAGATGGGGAGAGGAGGTGTTGGCTTTCTACAGATGAGGCTTTACATCCAGGCGATGTAAAGACCAAAAAAATCAAAGGGCTTCCAGGTATTTGGCCGCCTGGAGTTGTTCTGTGGCTTTATGGGGATATCAGTGGGGACCGTAGTGCTTTTTTGGTGGTTGTGACTCCTCTTGGAAAGCAGCCGGGGCTCTTCAGTGCTCTACAGAGAAGCCGCCTCGCTTTCAGCCTTGATTTTACTCTTTGCTGGTTCATTTCTGTTCTATTTTAACATCCTAGGGCTAAAACTGACCTTTAGCTCCCATCTCTGTTCAGCCTTGCAGACCGGGGAGAAGGAAGGGTGCCGTGCTTCCCTTTTCGGGTGGTTTGGTAAGTGAGATCCGGAGAAATCCGGAGCCTGTTTGTGGCAGGTCGGGGAAATAGCACAGCTGATCGACGAGCTCTCTTCTCTTCTCTGCTTACGCTGCCTTTGGCGCATGAGCAGGCACTGAAGGGTCTGTGAGACAAACTGGGAGAGCTCTGCACTCACTTCAGCTGCTCCGTGATTGAGCTTTGTCAGGGGCTGTAATAAAAGTCGCGACTAGGCTGGCCTTTAGCTTTTACCACAGATGCGGAGCCTCGTGCTGCTCCCCGAATAGACATCCCTGCCCAAATCCAGCCTTTTGGGGGACAGTTCAGGACTAGTAGAGGAGATTTGGGGTTTACTGCGTTGGGAACAGCCTCCGGGACTGCTCCTGGGTCACAGAGCTTGGGGGGGGCTGATCCTGACCGGGCTGAGCACCCAGTCCTCCCACTGAGGTGAGGCGTTGATGCCCTCAGCCTGACTTTAACCCCAGATGCTTAGCTGCAGTGAAGGTTCCCAGGTTTATAGAAGGGACACTGAAGTCCAGAGGAGGAACTGGATCTTGCCCAGGGTTTTCCAGCAGACCTGGAGGCACCGGGGTGCTCGCTGAACCTCGGTGATTTCATTAAACCACCCACGGGCCTTGGCTGGCTCCTGTCTGAGCCGCTCCAGAGCCCGGCACGATTGCCTCAGTTCACTCTCCCTCCGAGGAACGTGCCTTGCAGTCGCTGCTGGATTGTGTCCAGCCTGGAGCTGTTCCACCGCACGCTGCTCCGATGGTAAAATTACGGAAAGAGCCCGACGCAAAACATCATTGTCTCGCTGCGGGGAGCTGGGGAAGCAGGACTCGCCCTCTCTGTACCGGCTGTGGCTGATGGACGAAGCGAAGTCCTGGCACTGTTTGCCTCCAGATCCTCCACCTGTGCTAGGAGGAAAATGAAAAGTGGCTTCACAGCTGCTGCTTGAAGGGGCGGAGCGGAAGCGGGAGGAGAAAACTGAGCTCAGGTGTAAACTGGCTGTAAATTGTTCCTGGTTAAGAGGCCTGAAGCTGCGAAGGGCTCTGCTGGGCCGGGGTTTTTCTTCAGAGGTGCCTGATGAGTGCATTGTAAAACACACCTAATGTTTGTGCTGATGTGCCTGCACCTGGGGTTGTGGTTTGCCTTCCTCTGCCGGCGTTGGGAGTGTTTGTGGCTCTGGCCCGAGGCAAACTTCAATCCCCTGTGGCAGGTGATGGCTGTAGGGAAGGACTTAATGCACCAGAGAAAAGTCCCTCTGAAGCTGAACAAATGTTAAAGCAGCGGCGGTGCTGTGGGTGTTCACGATGGGTGGGGAGCGAGCTGGGCTCTGTTTGCAGGAGCACCGACCTGGTGCTGGGCTGGAGAGCAGAGGAGGGAAGATTTTTTTTGTGCGAAGGTTTGACCGAAGCCGAATGAAAAATCTGCGATAGCGACAGCAATTATTTATTTCCACTCCAGGAATGCTTTTATGCCAAGGGAGAGGCGACTTGCCATCCATCGATCGGGTCTAAACCCGTGCCAGAAGCGAGATGTCTTGGGCCCTGCGGACTCGCTGTGACTCTGGGTGACTTTGTTAGCCCGTGTGTCCGAGCTCGGCCGGGCAGGGAGCGCGCAGCCCTCGGAGCTGCGAGGGAGGTGATGGAGAGGTGGGGGCCCGTCCGCAGCGGGTGGGATTAAGCTGCTGCTGGAGGTGTTTGCGCTGGGAGGCTGAGACACACAAACCCCTCCAGCGTCCGACCCCTCGAGTGAGCCTGGGGCTCGCCGTGGAAGTGGGAACGTGCTGCCTCCTGCTTCATCCCGCTGTCTTAATCCGCGCTGAGGCTGTGCTCAGCAGCATCTTCATCCATTTCCCTAATCCCGCCTTCTTCTGGCTGCTCTCTGGATGCTTTTTTTTTTTTTTTTTTTTTGGAGAAAACCAAAGGCAAAATGTTCCCGTCTCCGCAGGAGCTCCGGCCCCAGGACAGCCCATAACTTGGTGCCGTTTGCTCTACGGCTTTGGATTTAATTCCACAGCAACCTTGGCCTGCCTGGTTCAGACTTCGGAAAGCCTCTGCGATAGGTGTGTGCAGAGAGGGAACAACTATTTTTAATAGCAAAAAAAAAAAACACCAATAGATGCCTGCTCTTCGTTCAGTGGGCTGTGAGGTTGGGGAATAGCTGTGGTCCGGGCAGGCTGGGGAGGGAGTGAGATCAGGAACCCCCTTCCCAATCGTTTGCAGGCAGAAATTTGGGGCGAGTCCAGCTTGGACTACCGGAATGGATAGATTTAAGTTCGGGGGGGACACGTGCTTGTGGGGACGGAGGTGATCTGCAGCTTGCCGTGACGCTGAGATCGAGACGCTTTGCGAGCCCCGGGGTGGCATTTCTGGGCCTTTTGCTCCGGGGAGCCGCCGGGACCCACCCAGAGCAGCCGATCTCCTGGGCACGGGTGGACCCGCCCCTGGTTTTGCCCCGTCGCCCCTGGTTTTGCCCCATCGCCCCTGGTTTTTAGGCCCTGGCCAATATGACAAGAATCGAGGCCCTCAGGAAGTTGGAGTTAGAGACAGACACAAAGGTGACAATTACATGAGGGAGATGTAGGTTGAAAGCCCTTGACTTCCTTATGCTCGAGCATTTCAGACTCTGTGGTTCAGTGTTGCTTGTGCTCAGTGTCTGAGACAGAAGCAGACATGATTACCTGGAAGATTACAAGCCCTTTATGTGCCCATCAAGGTTAAGATTTTCACCTTGATTTTATTTATTATTTCCACCCCCCCAGGAGTACTGAAGAGCTGCATAAAATTTAGATCTCAGGACAGGAGGGTGCCATGCCCCTGTCCCTCCTGCGATGGATTTTTCTCTGGTTTTACACACTTAGGGCTGAGGGCGAGCTCATGGGTGCTCAGCCACTGAAGGGGGAGGGCACGCGGAGGTGTCCCGGTGACGACGTGGCGCACCAGTCAGAGCTCGACAGGACTCGGCAGCCCCGAGGAAGCCGCTCGGGCCCGACCCAACGAGGCTCTGCAAGAGCACCCAGCCCTGAGAGCAGGCACCCACGCAGGGGAGGGACGGGGGCAGCTTTCGGCTCACGCCCACAGCCCTGTCCCAGCCCAGCCTCGTGCAGCTGGGCTAAAGACCCCAGTAGCTCCGCTACAATTCCCCCTTTTGGGGTGATTTCCGGCAGAATCTCCATTATTTCTCAGCTTCCAGTTTCCTAAATCCCTCCCCGGACTGGTCACTGACTGTTTGCATGGCAAGCTGGGCGCTCGTTCCTGCCCTCGCCGGGCTTGTTTCGGCCTCGAGCACGCTTTCCTCCTCCTCTTCCTCTCGTGGAAGGACAGTCTCCCACGGGGGGCTGGTTCGTGCCGCTTTGGGGCTGACAGCCGGGAAGCTGCGACCGGCTCAACTCATTGCACCTGAGGTCCCCACTCAGCGTGGGGGGACACACCCCCCCCCCCTCCTTAGCACTGGGAGTGTTCTGCACCCCACACCCCCCGGGAGGGAGCACTCGGGGGCCCGATTTAACCGTCGGTGGCAAAATTGGGTTTGGTTTGGGTAGCCCGGACCTTGGTTTGCCTCTTTGCCATAACCACGTTCCTCCTTGCACGCATCCCCCCACCCCCCCCAAAAAAAAAAAAAAAAAAAAGATGTCAAGATGTCGGAGGCATTTGTGCTCTGTCACAAGAGAGGGGCCGGGTCTGGGCAGCCCAGGCAGCCAGGATTTGATCCAAAGAAATCCAAATTCAGCCCCGAGGACGCCGTGACTCAGATTTGCCGGGCTGCGGTTCCATCCGCCGCGCTGCCTGCGGCTGCGGTGGGCGGCAGGAGGAGAGGTTGCCATAGAGGGTCTAAACGCCGCCAAATCCCTGGGGAGGGAAACCAGGGGGGGCTGGTTACTCGTAACCCCCCCAGCCCCCCCCCCCCCCCCCCCCCCCTTATTAATCACCGTCACCTCCGCAGTCACTGAAACAG